TTAGCATTCATTTTAACAAATTTTGAGTTTGCAATTCTCTCCCTTTTTCCAGTCCCTTCCACATTCATTAAGAAGGCAAGTGATATGCTATCAATTATACTGTGAAGTCATGCAAAACATATTTGCATATTAACCACACTCCCCCCCAAAAAAAGCAAGAAAAAAAATAGTGCTGTAAGAAATGATGAACAGGTTGTTCTTAGAAAAACATGAAAAGACTTGTATGAAATAATGTAAAGTGAAATGAGCACAACAAAATGAATGTTGTATAAACTATTTTCAAAGGATATTGTTCAAAGAATAACCATGAAATACTAAACTATTCTGAGTAAATGAATATTCAAATTAACTATGAAGGACTTATGAAGAAAAATGCTATCCACTTCCAGAGGAAAAAACTGATATGTGGAAGTAAGTATTGTATGGTTCCACATATATCTCTATATCAAACATTGGCCTTCTCTAAGGTGGAAATGGGGGGGAAGAAGGGAGACAAAATTTAATAAAATGTAACAAAATATAAAAATAAAATAAAAAATTTTAAAGTGAATGTTACAAAATTGCATAGAAGAAGCATGACTCAAAAGAAGAGATGTGTATCTGTACCTCTACTCCTTTGTAGAGGTGAGAAGTCTAAGAGTGGTACATTACACATATTTTGAGATTTTTTTGATGTATTGGTCAGTTTTCCTTTAAAAATATTTTTATATGAGATGGCTTTCTTGGGATAGGTGGAGGAGGGATACAGGGAGAAACTTTGTTGATGTTTTTAAGAAACTATCAATAAAAATTTATGAAGGAGAAAGAGAATAAGAAAAGAAAACAAGTGAAAAAGTATGCTTCAATCTGTACCCATACTCAACAATTCTCTCTCTGGGTGTAGATAAAAATCTCTTCAAGAGTCCTTTGGAATTTTCTTGGACCATCACATTGATTAGAGAAGCTAAATCCATCACAGTTGATCATCATTACAGTATTGCTCTTACTCTGTATAATGTTTTCCTGATTCTGATCACTTCGCTTTGCATCAGTTCATATATCTTTGCAAGTTTTTCTGAAACCTTTCTTTTAGCCATTTCCTATAGCACAATAATATTCCATCACAATCATACACTACAACTTTGTTCAGCCATTACCCAATTGATGAATGTTCCCTCAGTTTCTAATTCTTTGCCACCCAAAAAGAGCTACTATAAATGTTTTGTACAAATACATCCTTTTATTTTCCATTGATTTCTTTGGTATACAGATATAGTAGTGATGTTGCTGGGTCAAAGGGTATGCACAATTTTATAGCCCTTTGGGCATTCTGTTCTCCAGAATGGTTGTACCAGTTCACAGCTCCATCAAAGGTTCATTAGTGTTCCTATTTTTCCACATCCCCTCCAGCATTTGTGGTTTTCCACATGTGTTAATCTGATAGGTATGAGATGGTACCTAAGAGTTGTTTTAGTTTGCATTTTTATAATGAATTGTGATTTAAAGCATTTTTTCATATGATTATAGATAGCTTTGATTTCTTCTTCTGAAAACTATTCATATCCTTTAACCATTTATCAATTGGGAAATGGCTTTTATTTTTTATAAATTTGTCTCAATTCTCTATATATTTGAAAAATGAAACCTTTATCAGAAGCTATGAATTTATTCCCTGATATCTTGTTTTCCTTCTAATTTTGGCTATATTAGTTTTGTTTGTACAAAAAAAAAGTTAATCTCATGTAATAAAAATTATCCATTTTACTTCCCATGATCCTCTCTATCTCTTGTTTGGTAATAAACTCTTCCATTATCACTAGATCTGATAGGCATATTTTTCCATGCTCTCCTAATTAGCATATGATGTTATCCTTTACATCTAAATTATATGCTCATTTTGACCTTGTCTTGGTATCTTGGTATCTTGGTATGCACTGTGAGATGCTGATCTATACCTAGCTTCTGACAAGCTGCATTCCAATTTTCCCAGAAATTTTTGTCAAATAGAAAGTTTCTGCTTCCAAAGCTTGGATCGTTGAGTTTATCAAACACATTCACAGTTAGGATTACTAATTGTATTTCCTTCCATCCTATTTTCTTCTGTTTTATCCTTTCTCTCTATTTTTACCTGGTCCCTCTTCAACCATCTTTTTTGCTCCTGACCACAATCCGCCTTCCCTTTTATTACCCTCCCCCTTTTTTCTTATCCCCTTCGCCTCCTCCCTTCCTGTAGGGTAAGATAGATTTCTTTACCCAACTGAGTTTGTATCTATATTCTTCCCTCTTTAAGCCAGTTCAAATGAGAGTGAGCTTCAAGTGTTGCTCCTCCTCTCTATCCCCATTTTCTCATCCACCATAAAAGCTCTTCCATGCATGCCTCTTTTATGTGAGATAATTCCCCCATTCTTCCTTCTCCAATGTATCCCTCTTTCTCACCTATCCATCTTTTTGATGTCATTCCAACATAATCAACTCACACCTATGCCCTTTATCTATGTAGTTTCCTTCCAACTGCCCTAAGGATAAAGTGCTTAGAACTTACATGTATCATCTTCTGATATAAGAATGTAAACAGTTAATCTTTTTAAGTTCCTTGTGATTTCTCTTTCATGCTTACCTTTTTGTGCTGCTCATGAGCCTTATGTTTTAATGTCAAATCTTCTATTTAACTCTAGTCTTTTCTTCAGGAATGGTTGAACGTCCTCTATCTCATTAAATATCCATTTTTCCCCTGAAGGATTATACTCAGTTTTGCTGATTATGTTATTTTTGGTTGTGATCCTAGCTCCTTTGTCTTCCAGAATACAAAATTCTAAGCCCTCCACTCTTCTCATGTGGTAGCTACTAAGTCTTGTGTAATCCTGACTATAGCTCCACAATATTTAAATAGTTTCTTTCTGACTGTTTGAAGTATTTTCTCTGGAATTTGGCTATAATATTCCTGGAAGTTTTCAGTTTGGGATCTCACAGGGCAATTGGTCTATTTTGCCTTCATTACTGTATTCATTCTTCTCAACCTAATTCCCAAGTAATATAAAGGAATGTTTGGGTAGTTTCTTAATCATTCAATCAATCAATCAGTTACTACTCAGTCAGTCAATAGCATTTCTAAAATAGTTAGTCTCTGACAGATACTGGGGATACAGAGACAAAATAAAAACAACCAACATTGAAACATTCTCTTCCCTTAAGGAGCTTATAGCATATTGAGAGAGAAACTCCAATAACTGAATAATTAATACTCAAATTTCAACATTTCATATTAATTATCCACTAGCTCAGAGTCCCTATCCCAGTTTACTCAGTTAATAAACTGGAAAAGTCCATTTCCCCATAAGCAGTTGCTCAAATCTCTCTATATATCAAAACACCTAATCTCCTAGTTTTATGTAGCACAGTATCTATGACAGAGTATTTTTAAATGCTCGTTGGCTTTCTGATTGATTGTTTAAAACAGTAGGAAGCCACTGAAACTTCTTCAACAAGGGCATGACTTAGTCAGACATGTGCTCCAGAAATATTAAATTTGGTAACTATATAGAAAATGAATTGGAAAGAGGAAGATGTAGGGAGTTCATTTAGGAATGTATTGTGATAGTTCAGGCAAAAAAAATGATAAGAACTTGAACTAGAGTGGTTGTGGCATGAATAGAGAGAAGGGGGCAGATGAATAAATGCTGAGCAGTTTAAAAGGACAAGTTTTGATCCTTGTTTGGATTTGTGAGGTAAGTGAGAGTAAGGAGTCAAAGACGAATCCTAGATTGAAAAGCTGGGTGACCACTGAAAGTGGTACCTTCAACCAAAATAGAGAAATCAGAAGGAGGTTTGGGGGAGGAGGGAAGATGAAGTGTTCTGCCTTGAACACATTAAATTCAAGACATCTATAAAAGATCTTGGTGGATGTACTCAGCAGTCAGCTAGAGATATGGGACTGGACATCAGGAAAGTGATGAGGGCTAGCTTTGTAGATTTGGGAGTCATATACACATATACCCATATACACATATACATATATCCTATAAATACATAGGAGCTGATGAGATCCGCAAGAGTGAGATGGAAAGAGATAAAAGGGGAAGGCCCAGGAGAGAGATCTGATATACACACACACATAGGGAGAAGAATATAAATTATGAGCCTGCAAAGGAAGTTGAAAAGGATCTTTCCAACATGTAGAAAGAGAACCATGACAAAGCATGTGAAAGACCATGGAGGAAAAAGCATCCAGAAAGTAGGGTTGATCAACAGTGCCAAAAGATGCACAGAGGTCAAGAATGATGAGGAAAGGGGAAAGTTCATTATATTTAGCAATATAAAAATCATTGGTCAGCTCAGAAAGAACAATTTCAGTAAAGTGGTGGGGAAGGAAACTAGATTGTAAGGAGTTGAGAGGTGAGTAAGAGGTAGGACAAAGAGGGCAGAGTACATGTAGTTTTTTCTTCAGAGTTTAAACGTTAAAGGACAAAGAGATATGAAGCTGTGGTTTGATGGGATGATAGGGTCAAATGAAGGTCTTTTTGGAAGATTAAAGAGCTCTGGGCATGTTCAAAGGCACCAGGGAATGAGCAAATGGATAACTAAACATTGCCAAGTACTTGGGGATTTGCTTTGATGAATTAATGGTTTGTAATTGGCATATTAATCGCCTTATATAAATTCTTGAAAAATCTTTTCTTCTGAGTTAAATATTCTCTTTGTAATCATACTTTTAATTGATTTTCCAGGTCCTTTTTTCAAAGACAACATAAAAGTAAACTTCAACCCACATCCTATCCAAATTAGCACACATTCTGAATTGATAGAATACAACTGGGAGAAATTGTATTCTTTCTAACCATGCTATTTTTGCTAAAGTTTAAAACCACTTGACTCCTTTGGATAGAGAGACTAACTGATGAGGAATTCCTGAATATGTGAGATTTACCTGCTTAAAGAAAATTATTAAAGCAATAATTATTAAAAGTTAAGAAATTCCAGTTCTTTTCATATATCCTCAGAGATCTTATTTTTATCTATTTTAGCTCACTGGGTCCTGTGAATAAACTACTATTCCTACAGCATCGGTGCACAGATCACTCTTTAAAGAAATCTGCAGTTCTCATAAGTGCTGAGACAGGGACCCTCCACTGGTGGAGTATCTTTGGGAAAAAGATAGAATATGGTAAGACACAGGCTATGGCTATGTCATAGCCTCAAAGGCTTTGAGGCTAAAGTATGGTGCAAAGAATACCTGATCAGGAGACTTGGGTTACAGTCTCAGAGCTATCACTAAATAACTGTCAAGTTCCCTAATAATTCTGAATCTCAGTCTCTCTATCTATAAAATTAGGTGATTGAGACTGGAAGGTGCTTCCATCTCTCAAATTCTATTATTCTACTAATACTTTTAATTGGCTGGTTACTATGTTTTCTGGTTCCATATATCGCCCATTACTGCCCTTTACTTACTTTGTACTCCAGTCAAATTCTTGCTGTTCCCTAAATGTGCCCTGTCATTTCCTACCTCAATGCCTTTGCTCACACTTCTTCCTTTACCTAAAATATGTTTGCTAAGATATCTGTGAAAACATTTGTTGTTGTTATTGTTTAGTTCTTCAGTCATAGATGACTCTTCATCATCCTGTGGACCATAGAATACCAATATTGTTCACAGGGTTTTCTTGGCAAAGATATTGTAGAAGTTTGTCATTTCCTTCTCCAGTGGATTGAGGCTAACAGAGGTTAAATAACTTGACCAGGGTCACATAGCTAATAAGTATCTGAGGCTATATTTGAACTCAGTTCTTCCTGATTCCAGGCCCAGTGGAGTCATCTGAGATCCATTGAGCTATCTAGATGCAAATGCTAGCCATGCTTTAAGACCTAGATCAAATGTTAACTTCTCCATGAATCCCATTTTTCCTAATTTGTCACCTTGATTCACCATTCCCCTTAGCTAGAATTAATCTTTCTCTTGGGAAACTGGTCATATAACATTATCCTTTTTTGTATTTTTAATCCCCCTGTCTCCTCAACCAAACTATAAGTTTCTTGAGACCAAGGACTCTCTGTATTCATCTTTACATATGCACACATACATATGTGTGTGTCTATATATGTACATACACACACACACACATGCCTCCACCCCCTCAATATTTGTTGAATGAATGAATAATGTCATGCTCAGGTTAACCCCAAAGCTGATAATAGCAACCCCCGCTTCTTGCATCCTAGAAACTCTTTGCTGCTGCAAAAACCTATAACCAGCATGTTAAGCAAATTCCCAGGATGCCTGTTTAATAAACACAGTTCCCCAGGACTCAATCTGTACTCAATCAAATAGGAACTATTGTTCCTACTTCTCCCCTTTTTAAGTTTCAAAAAGTATGTTACCAATTATGCAAAGACATTGGCCCAACAATAGTGATTTTCTCTGCTTCGAGCTTTGGTTACTGTTTTATTCCTTCTGGATTTCAGTGGATATAGTCTGAGATTATTTCTATAAAGGAGTGAGCCCAGAGTTGCTTCTGTATCAATTGGATACTGTTACATTGAAGATCTATTCCTCTTGATTGTTTTACTAACACCATCACCACCACCAACTCTTCCCAATCAACACACGCATAATGATTTTGAAGATATCATACATTAATAATAGATAACTCCTTTGGAATTCATTTCAGTTGAGAAAAACCTCCAAAGTCATATAGGGATAAGCTCTAAATTGGAGCTCTCACCAACTGGATAAAACTTCCTCTCAGTTGTCACAATGTTATAGAATGGGTTCAAATAAAATTAAGTCCTTTTCATTCACATACACAATCTCTCTCTGCTTGACAATAAAATGGAATGAACCTTCAAAGTAAAAATAATAATAATTATGGCCAGGTCCACTTACAATTTATTTTAAATCCAGTTGTAGCTATCCCCAATAGTTTATCCATGAATTTCTGGTCCTGAGCCTAATTGTGGCTTGGAGCTGACCCCAGACTTTTGAAGACTCTTTTGAAAATGGTGTAGTATAAATTTCAGCAGGATCAACCACATACAATTGTTTTTGCTCATGTGGATCCCTTCTCCCTCTCTTTCTTTTTGAGATCTTTAGAATGCTGTTGTTTAGTTGTTTTCAGTCATTTCCAGTTCTTCATGACCCCTTTTGGGGTTTTCTTAGCAAAGATACTGGAGCAGTTTGTCATTTCTTTCTCCAGCTAATTTTATGGATGAGGAAACTAAGACAAACAGTGTTAAATGACTTGCCCAGGGTCACACAGTTAGTGTCTGAGGCCACATTCAAACTCAGGTCTTTCTGACTCCAGGCCTGGTGCTCTATCCACTGTGCCACTTACCTACCCCAGAATCAACCATATTGGAAAGACCTTGAGTATGGTCCCAACACCAGACTGAACTGGACCAACCCAGCTAAGAACAGAGAAGCTCATTGTCAATAGATTGATCACTAAATAATGAATTCCTTTGCTGTAACAACCAATGAAAAAAAAAGGAAAAGAAAAATATGGTCCTTAGTTCTATGCAACCCACTTTGGCTTTCCCAGTGCAACTGGTATAATTATAGAAAAGGGAGGAAAAGATGCTTAAAGACATAATTTTACTTATAAACAACTTAATTTTTAATACTCTAAATTTGAGATCTTTGTCTAATGATCAATAAATCATTATGCTAACATAAAAACTAACTCACATCAATATTTAAAAACTCACAATTAGTGAAATCAGGCAAAAAAGGGAAAATGCAGCTAAATTGAGTTCTCCTCATAGATTCAAATAAGGAATTCATAGGCTCATAGGAATTGTTCATTTGGTTTCATCAAATATCCGAAGAAAATAAGGAATCTCATTTCATAGGAGAGTTGGTTATCTTACCTTGCAATGTTCACGATGAGCATAAACAGAGTATTATTGCAGCTTATGCACAAAAATCCAGAGCCTTATTCTTTTGATATAATGATAAATATATTAGCCTGTCATGTGGGAGACTAGGGTTCAATTTCTTGATGTGGAGGATACCTCTTTTCTCTTTGAGGTGGAGGGGTGGGTAAAGAATAAGCATTCATTAAGCACCTACTATGTGCCAAGCATTTTACAAATATTATCTCATTTGATCCTCACAACAACCTTGTGACGCAGGTGTTTTTATTTCAGTCATGTCTGACTCTTCAACACCACATTTGGGGTTTTCTTAGCAAAGATATTGGAGGGGTTTGCCATTTCCTTGCCCAGCCCATTTTATAGCTGAAAAAACTAAGGCAGAAGTTAAATGACTTACAAGGGTCATACAATTAGTAAGTGTCTGAGGCCATATTTGAACTCAGGTCTTCTTTACTCTGGACCCATGTGGTATAGAGAAATGAAGAGTGGATTTAGAGTCTTAAAAAACACCTGGGCTCAAATTTTAGCCCTGCTGTTTAGCTGCCTATATGACTTTGGGTGTGATGCTTAATCTCTACATACATTAGTTTCCTCGTCTATAAAATCAGAAGACTGCACTGACTTCGTCAGGGGTTCTTGAGTTCATGGCAAGGAATCTATGGGTAGATTTCAGGAGATCCATGAATTTGAATGAGGAAAAAATCATATTTTTATTTTCACTAACCTCTAACTGAAATTTAGCATTTCCTTCGATTCTGAGTTTTAAAAAAAAAAAGAAACATTAAATTAAAAAGGGAGCCACAGGCCCCACCAGACTGCCAAAGAGGTCCATGAACCCTCAAAAAAAACATTAAGAATGACTAACTAGACTATGTGATACAACTCTAAATTTATGATTCTATGAACTATCCTAAACTCTATATTTAGGTGGTGCAGTGGATAAAGCACTCAGCTTGGAATCAGGAAGACTCATCTTCCTGAGTTCAAATCTGGCCTCAGATACTTCCTAACTGTGTGACACTGGGCAAGCCATTTAACCCTCTTTGCCTCAGTTTCCTCATCTATAAAATGGACTGGCGAAGGAAATGGCAAGCTCCTCCAATATCTTTGCTAAGAAAAACCCAAATGGGGTCATGAAGAGTCAGACATGACTGAAATGACTGAACAACAACAATAATATAGCTATAAATCTATGAACCATAATCCTTTGAATATATACAAAAGACCAAGAGGTAGAAAAATTCTAGAAAGAACTTGACAAGATTCCCCAACAGATGCTTTAATACTCAATAACATTGAAAAAATATGTTGGAAAATATGTTTCTTTTCTAGGACATGAAAAAAGCCAAGACCTTGTAGACTACTAAGAGGGCTCACACCTGAATATCAGGGATAATTTTTTCAAGAACAGAGTTGAAAGGCACTATGACAGACAACATAACAACAACAACAAAAAAAAGAAATTGACTATATTGTAATAGGAAATGACTAGCTACTGATGGGCGAGTCCTATCAGAATTAACTGTCCCTATTCAATAAGACCATCAACTGGTTAATCTAAAGGTCAATCCACAAACCAGGCTTTATTAAGCACCTACTGTGTGCAAGGCACTGGTGAAAAAAGTCATATTTTTAAAATAGATGTTCTCCCAGTGATGTTACAGGGCTGTGACTATTGGAACACCACAACCTATAAAAAGTAAATGTTGCAGGTGACTCCAAAGGCAATGGAGAGATTCATGATAGTTCAAGTGTGGTGCAGCCTATTTCCAGTGATAACCTATGTGCAAGAAGTAGCAAAAGGGCTGTCATTCAGAAAATGTGTGATTGGACAAGGAAGTGAGTGAGTTATGTAGAAAGAAAAACAATTAACAGATGGACATCAAGCATGCTGCACTAATAGTACAACTTTTTACTCTACCCAAGTTCAGCCATTATCATAACTTTAAATCCACCATTTTTCAGAACTGTGCCATTTCCAAAATTCAAAACTTTGAAATTCTTCTTTCCACCCATAAACTCACATTCACCTACCCCCAATACTCTTGTAAAAAATTAAATCCATTCTCTACCCCATCCTGACTTCCACTCCCTTGATCCATCCCTATTCTCTCAGTCCATTACTTCTTCCCCAATCTGGTTTTACTTGCCTTTCACACTAAGCCTTGAGCTTATGGTGGTTACTCTGTTTCCTAAACTTATGAGTCATTTGCGCATTTGATCTTTGACAGATCTTGACCTGTAAATCCTAATTCCTGGATAGCTTCACCATCCAACTTTTCCACTCTTGCACTATGAGCAATGATAGAGAAAATCACAAATTCAAACTGATTAAAAATTTGTTGCATACCCTCAGCTAAACTCTCATAATTACTTAGAAAGCTTTCTATTCTACCCTTTTCATCTATCTTTTTCATTCCCCATAGGATCTGTTCAAAATAAGTTCTTTTTTCTTCCTTTCCCCAGCTTCATGCTTAATCTGGGTACAGATAGAATCTGAACTTAGACTTTTCATTGAGAGGATTGAGGCCATCCAACATATGCTACCTCAACCCAACTAAAATTTCTCAGAATTATCCTCCCACACATGTCCCCCTTCCAACTGATCATAGAGAAAATATATGCCTAATTCCCCACTGAGGCTAATCCCTCATCCAGGATCTTACCATAGAATTTATCCACCATCTTTTCATACCTCTTCTATTGCTCCTTCTCCATTATCTCTTTCTCACCTATATATGCACCTACTCCACTTTAATCAATCATATAAAGGTATTTTTGGCCATTGTATCTCTACCTTGCTATGTCTCCATCTCTTCATGGTTAAATTTATCTAAAAAGTGGCCTTTGACCAATGGCTATATTTTCTCACTACCTGCCATTGAAGAGATGGCAATCAATCAATTGTCGATCAATCAATCAATCAGTACACATTCATTAAGTGCCTACTATGAGTCAGGTACTGCACTAAGTACTGGAGGCCAAAAGCCAGTTCCTGCCCTCAAGTAGCACCATCTTGTTTCTACTCTCACAACATATAAGCCCCTCTCTTAAAAGCCACTAATGCAACATCCTACTCACTGAATCTAATGAATGGCTTTTCTCCAGTTTTCATCCTTCCTTACGTCTCTGAAGCATCTAGCTGTGTTAACCACTCCCTATTACTGTATGTTTTCACTCTCTGGGCTTCCACAACAATTTCATCTTTTGGTTCTTTTCCTACATCTCTCTCTCATTCTTTTTCTGGCCCCATTATGTCTATAAGCCCTTACTCCTCTTTTCTCTTCTCACCACATGCTCTCCTTTGGAAATCTCATTCACTTCCATGGCTTTATGTAGAGCACTTCCAACTCTATCATCATCCCTGAACTCTCTTCTCTGAGTTTCATTCCTACATTTCTAACTGCCTAAAAAACATGTGTGCTAGGTAGGATGTCCTACTGGTACTTCAATCTCAATGTGACTAAATAATGTTTAGTATCTTTCACCTTAAAATGTTTTTCCTTCTTATTTTTCAATTTCTGTCAGTAGTACCACCATTTAGCCAGTATCTTATGCTTGTAACACTGCCTTACCTTTGCTTTCCATGTTCATCATCTCCCATAACCAATCAGTCACCAAGTACTATAGATTTCATCCCTACAAAATATCTTTTACCTTTCATTCTTTTCTATTCCAATGCCAACATCCTACCATAGGTTCTCATTACTATCTCCAGTACTATTACAGTGGTCTCCAAACATATCTTCCTGCCTCCATTCTTTGCCCTCTCTAATCCAGTCCTCATAAGGGTTTCCTATTGTCTCCTGATTAAAGCCCAGACTTTGAAATTCAAGCAAGGACTTCAACAATTTGATATCACCATGCCTTTCCATCTTTCTCTTATATTATTCCCATCTAGGTACCTTACAAACTGGTCAAACTAGACTACCCTGTTCCCTGAACAGTTTCTATGCTCTCATATTGTTATGTCTTTGCTCCATCTTTGCCAAAGACTTCCTATCAATCCTTTAAATCTCAACTAAAATGACCTCTGATAACCCAGGTCAATAATGACCTTTTCCGTATGATCTTATGTAGTATTTTGTTTGGTAATTCTCTAATGTACTTATCACATAATATGATATACTATATTTATCTGTATTTGTATTAAATTTTACCCTCCTACACTAGGCAATAGGCTTAGTGAAAACAACCACCAGTTTTAGCTAAAGTTTGAATCTCTCTCAGCACATAGTACATGCTTAATTTATAGTAGGTAGTTAATAAATATTTGTTGATGACTACTGAATGAATGGGTCAGATTTTATTATGACAGAAGAGAGTGACTTTGTAGACACTGAGTATCTAGGTTTCATAGTATGAATGGATTTATTTTACCTTATGAAGTACATGCCCTTGGGAAAAGTCTAATGCATTGAGCTATAACTGTAAGGTGATTCAGATTTTGTGCACAGGATATGCCAAAGCACCAGGCAGTTAGTGATGACTCAGTGTTACAAGATAAGTAATAGTTGCATCTTTGACAGTGCCTTCTGAGCTTTTCCTAATGCTCTTTAAAAGAATTCTCTTAATTCCTTTGATGGAGGAGAGAAGCCCTTTCTTGGAGCCTAAAATACTTAAAACTGATGTTTTAAGTCAATTCCAGATAATTTTTTAAAGGGGGAGGGAATCTCTCAGCAAACTAGATGCTGCTGCAATGATATTAGGTATGGAAATGGAAAGAGATCACTGATAGTATATATAAGTGAATTCCTCCAATTGAAAATTATTTGGGGCTGGAAGGAGACAATGTCAATAGAAATGTTCAACGAGGGATTAAATGATGAGTTTCAGGACAAGTTTTTAGACTATCTCTCTCCAGATAACCTGGAAGGTCTAATGAATACGTTCTATAGCTCAATGACTGTTATAACTCAGTGACTGGAAGACCAGAAGAGGAGGCAAGCTCAGCACCAAGATAGGTGGGGAGGGCACCTGAATAGACCAGAAAATTCTGAGCCCATGCAATAGATAGAAACGATGGACTTTCAGGCCACATCCATCTGACAGTTCTAGCCCTACCTCAACTAGAAATCAGAGCAATGTAATTTATATTTCATGGGAGCATATTATTATAGACTCAAGCTGGAAAGGGCCTTAAAGGTCACCCAGACTAACTACTTCATTTTATAGATGAGGAACAGGCCCAGAAAGGGTAAGTGATCTATCGATAGCTATATAGGTTCTAGCTCAGATTTGAAAAAGAGAGTTCAAGCCTCCCTCTCCTGCTTCTCCACTGAAGAAGTACCCCACAATCAACCTCAGAATACGTCAGATCTCTGTGAGAGTGAAAAGACAGAAGGATCCTCAGAAGAAGTGGTCTAAAGTGAAGAGAGATTTGTTAACTATGGAATAGGAGTTCCATAATGCACAGTGGAAGGGGCTTGCATGACCAGAGTAGAGCATGGCCAGGGTAGTGTTGTGGTGAATAGGGATGAGAATATCAGAAGTGGAGGAATAGCGACTTATTCTTATTCTCTCACTAGGATAGAAAGAGGTGTGAGTTTGTTAAACATTGGGCTTGAAGCAGAGTTCATGAATAACCTTTCTTGAACTCAGTGATCTTGTCAATTGACGGGATGCTCTGTATCTCAACTGTGTTCTCAGCAATGGTCAAGGGATAAGGGGGAGGCTGCTACTTTGTGGGGTCATCCATTCAGTGACCTCGGCAAGAGGATGCTGGGATCTATTCCACCAGATCGGTAATCTCCTGATGAGAGGATGGTGGTGGAAGGGAGAGAAAGTCTCATGCATTGGGCTATTCTGTAATCTGTTAAGATCTTAAGAAGAGAGTAAACTAAAAGGTTGAATAGTGACTAATGTATGTCACAAAGTCAGCAATGGATGCACCCTTAACAACATATTCTGAGCTCTTTTTCTTTTTCTTAGACATGCCTGTGTCAAGGTTCTGAAATTAATGTTTGTGATACCCTGAAAAGGGGGGGGGGGGAGTAGGGCAGGAAATCTTGTGGAAACACAAGACAAATTCAGAAAACAAAAAAGAAAAGAATACAAAGTGTGATGTCAAGAAAAGGATACTGGTCATTGCTCAGCCTCAGTCATTAATTAAGGATAATTATAGTCAATCTAAGAGTTTAAATGGTATCTAAGATATTAAAATTATAAAAGTCTATCTTGGGCAAACCACCACCAGTTCTTTAGCTTTAGTGAGTCAAATGATGATCTTTGAATGATTCAGGGGAAGATACAAGGCATCTGGTAATGTACCTTTCCCAGGTAAGATCCTTTTAAATATGATCTAAGGACTATTTATATAACATTATAAGAACCAGTTTACCTAGAATATAAGGAGGTCTTCTGGATAGAATGATTTATGTCTTTTCCACTCCACATAGGCAAATTTTATGCTCCCTTAAAAGAGGATATTTCTGTAACTGGGCTGTCACCCAACAAGGATAACCACCTCCTGGTCACTGGAGACACTAGTGGCTTTATCCAGGTGTGGGATATTTCAAATTATGCAACAACTCTTCCTTCCATGGTAAGTTTTTCATGTGAAAATAATACAAGAAATTAGAATACAACTTCCCTATTTCTCTTTCTCTCCATCTGTTATGTATGTTGAGACTTCTATTGGAGAAAGAGAAGTATGGGAATCTCGCTCCCACCCACCATCGTGGCAGCAATGGTAACTGTCTCCTCATGGCAACAAGCACATTTGCTGGCCTAGGTAATTCTAAGATTGGGCCTCAAGTATCTGGCTGATTCCTCTGCTTCAAGTTTCTTTCCCTGAACATAGATTACTGAACAGAAATTTAAAAATAAATTTTCTAAACTTCATGAACACCAAAAAAAAGAACATTTCAATGTACAAATAGAACAGAAAAAAGATTATATTAAAATCACAAAGCTCTATTATGTACAGCTTGCTTTTCTTTTTTTAACTATGTAATAAATTTAACATGTTACTTTCAAACATGTTGTCTGCTTATCTTTCCTTCACAACCTTCTTCTTTTAAGCACATAATGAATTTAGTATGTTACTTTCAAAACTATCCTGATTCTCTATGTTTCTTTCAGAACTTTCTTTTGCTCTGTGAATTGAAAAATGCCTTGATGAAACTTTTGCTTCTTTTCTTTTGGGGTTATAGGATCAACACTATTGTTGTCTCCCCTCTTTCCCTAGTATCTCAAATGAAAAAAAAAGAAAAACACAATGTTTGTAACAAATAAGCATTGTCAAGCAAAATAAACCTCCAAATTTGCCATGTCTGATAATGTATTCCTATTCTGTACCTTGAGTCCATCACCCTGCTGTCAGGTGGTAGGCAGCATGTTTCATTATCAGTTCTCTGCTATAATGCTTGGTTATTAATCAGAGTTCTTGAGTCTTTCAAAGCTATCTTTTTTTTATTTTACAATTTTGTTGTAACTGTCTAAAATTGAACAGTGTTACTGAGATGGGTATTTCTAGTTTGTCAGTGATCTTATGAGTTAAAGAAGTTGGGGAGTTCCTTGATCTTGGTGCTGGTTGCCCAGGAAGAGTACTGCTGAAATAACTACTTGGAGGAGATGACCATCACTAGGAAGATGAGGACAAAGCCATGCCCTGGCATGCCAGAAGATATGGACATTGAATGACTTGCTCAGACAAAGTTCCAGGAAAATTTTCATGTTTTAAGTTTTTAAGTTTAGGTTTCATGTTTTACTTCTCAAACAGTATAAGAGTAGTTGTGAGTTAATGTATTGTGTTTTAAATAGTTGTCAATGTATATTCATGAATTTTTTTAAAGTTTTAAATATTTCATTTGTGAAAGAGGAAATAAATATATATTCTGTACCTATCTGCTTTGTACTGTGAGTACCTTTCTAGAAGAGATGCCATTAATTACTTTTGGGGAAAACATAGGCCATAATGACATGAGTCATTAATTTTGTTTAAGAGATTTTCCCCAGAATTCCCTGGGGAAGTCAGGTAAGAGCCAGGTTCCACCAGAACCAAACCTATAACTTTGATCAACGTAATGGCCAACTACAATTACAGAGAACTCATGATGAAACATGCCACTCACCTCCTGATAAAGGTGTAATGAACTCAAGCGTGCCTATTCAGACGATTTTTTTCTGGACATAATAAATACAGGAATTTGTTTGTCTTGACTACATGTTTGTGACGTTACTTTTTCAATTAGGGGAGAGAAAGCATAGGAGGAGGAGAAAGCAGAACTTCATTTAAAAATAAAATAAATTCTAATAAGAAAAAAAAAAAAACTAAATCCAGTCTGTGTGAGCCCAAAGCCCTACAATAGACTCTCCCACTGAAGGGCCTGACTAGTTTCATTCCTGACGGATCTTGACCTTGCTGTATAAGGCCACTGGCCCCAGAGTCAGGAGGACCTGAGTTCAAATCTGACCTCAGATACATAACATTTACTAGCTGAGTGACTCTGGGCAAGTCACTTATTTCCAATTGCCAAACCCCCCAAAAAATTATTTAAAGTTTAGGTTATATGGAGACCAATTACAAGCCTTTTCAGGAGGGGGAGGGGAGAGAGTATTGTTAGCTCCCCTCTCACTTTCCCCTAATACTATCCCCAATGAACAAAAGGGAAATATAATGCTTACCCAGGTTCCACATGGACTTGTATCAAGGTTCCACATGTCTTTTGTCAAGGAGGCCACTAGAAAGAGCCAAGGCATATGTGTCATCAGAGGGGTCCAGTTCCATGGATAGCACATGTGTCCCCAGAAGGGATTCAAGGATCTAAGGCACTGTGGCACTGGAAAAAAAATCTGTTTCCACAAATACTCCCCAGAAGGGATGGCCACTGTTAAATAAGCAATTTGCTCCCTCTTTTCATTCTGTTCATTTCAATGCCAGCAAATATTCATTTCACCTATAGGTCTTGGAATTAAACAGGAAACTATTATTAGACAAAATAAGATTCAGAAATTTGTGCTTCATTCATTAGCCTTATTATCAGGAACTGAATACCATTGACGTGATTGAGCAGGAATGGGTTGATTTGATACATGTCTTCCCCATAGATCTCCTTGCAGTTAGGATGTTCATTAGTTATTGATTCTCTGGGCCTGGAAGGAGCCTAAAGGGTTCAGTTTCTCCTGGCTCCAGGCTTGCAAGATTAGAATCTATTTCTACCATCCCAGAAAGAGGGGCACCTATCATCTTACATAATATCCTCTACATCCTATGCTATTCATTCTAGTATTTAGTAATCCTCGTCTTCAAGAAATTCATTTTGAACAAGATAGATAAGAAATGTCATTCTACTTTTGTAGTCTCTGCCCTTTTAATCATGCTTTCAGCTTACAGAAACTCATGGGAAATACCCAGGATTATTTAAGCTATTAGATGTGAAGGATTTGACCATATTTTAAATTCTTTAAGCTGGTAGCAAAGTAGTTGCTTTATTTTTCAGTAACCTTATTTCTTCTATTCATTGTCATAACTACTGCCTGATGATGTTAATAAGGAAGAATTTAGGGAGTTTTCAGATCAACAGGCCTGGTCTTTTTCTTGTTGTTGTTTAGTGATTTCAGTCCTGTCTGACTCTTCATTACTCTATTTGGGGTTTCCTTGGCAGAGATACTATAGTGGTTTGCCATTTCCTTCTCCAGTTCATTTTACAGATAAGGAAACTGAGACAAATAGGGATAAGGCAATTGGTCAGGGTCACACAGCTAGTAAGTGTCTGAGGCCAGAGTTGAACTCAGGTCTTCCTAACTCCAGGCCCAGTGCTCTATCCACTGCACCACCCAACTGCCTAGTTTTGTAGCTGTAACAAAACTTTTAAGAGGCAACATAGTGCAAAGAATCAAGAGTTGTCCTTAGAGGTAAGAAGACCTGGGTTCAAGTCCAGCTTCTGATAAATACTGCCTGTGTGACTATGATTTACCTCTTAGGGCCCAATATAATTCTCTAAGACTATAAATTATAGATAAGTTAACTTATCTATACAAGTCAAGAGACAAAATCATAAATCTTTGATATCAATGAACTCACAGGTCTGGACCTCTCCCACTACAACCAAACAAAATAAAACAAAAACTTTGGAACTCTACAGATCTGGTGTGCTTATTTTTTCACATATCAGCAGCAATTGTGACCAGTTATTTGTGTCTTTCCTCCATTTTCAATTCTTTAGAACTCACCCAACAACCCCCTCCTGCTTCATGGCTGGAAGGCCCACAGCTGCACCATCATGAGTGTGGAGTACTTCTCCTACGGTTCTGATTCCTTCATCATCAGTGGCTCTTCAGATGGGACTTCTGGGTTGTGGACTTCAGAAGGAACATTTGTGGGGCTATTTGGCCAAGACAAAAAATGGAACCTGAAAGTGCCAGCTACCTTTTCTTCCCACAAAAATGTTTTCCAGACAACAATGCCAGTCTTGGACTCCAAATTGGAAGATTCAACTACCAGAAAAGACAGGTGAGGGAACCTCTTGGGGTTTTTTTGTCGTTGTTCTTGGGGAAGTGGGAAAATACATAGGGTACACTGTCTTCTGGTACTGCAGAACCCTGTAACTCCCTGCATAATGAATGATGAGTTTCCACATGTAGAGAGAAGAGTTCCCACATTACACTTGTGAAAAGGTTGCTTGTGTGTACTGGCTCCACATAAAATATTATTCTTTTACCTATGGCTTATATTTATATTTTGCAAACTATTATTTTATACATGACTTCAATGGTTTTTCCTAGTAGTCTAGAGAATGATGTTTCATTTGTATGCTGTTCCTCTCATGCAGGACCCAGAGAAAGGCCTCCTTCATCATTCCAACTCAGTTCATCTCACACTAAGGAAAACCACCCCCCTTTAAAAGAGCAAAACTTTCCAAATCTTGACCTAAGCCACCTCATTAAATCCAGTCAGGATTTTGGCAGGCAGCTGCTGATTTTTTTTTTCTTATTTAGTATTTCATTTTTCCCCAATTACATGTAAGAACAATTTTTAACATTCATTTTTAAAACTTTGAGTTCCAAAATTTCTCCCTCCCTTCCTTCCTTCCCCCTCCATTGAGAAGGCAAGCAATTCAATATAGGTTATACATATGTAGTCATGTAAAACATATTTCCATGTTTCCATATTTCCATGTTAGTCATGTTGTGAAAGAAAACATAGACAGAAACTCAAGAAAAATAAAGATAGTAAAAAAAAAAGTATGCTTCAATCTTATTCAGACACTATCAGTTGGTTCTCTGGCAATGGATTGGATAGCATTTTTCATCATAAGTCCTTCAGAGTTGTCTTGGATCATTGTATTGATGAGAATAGCTAAGTCATTCACAACCAATCATCTTATAATATTACTGTTACTTTGTACATAGTACATGTCACTTTGCATTAGCTTCTCTAAGTCCAGGTTTTTCTGAGAGTATCCTGCTCATCATTTCTTAAAGCACAATAATATTCCATAATAATCACATACATTTCCCAATTGATGGCCATGCCCCCAATTTCTGATTCTTTGTCAACAGAAAAGAGATGCTATAAATATTTTTGTACATATAGATCCTTCTCCTTTTTGTTTTTTATCTCTTTTTGAATACAGACCTAGTAGTGGTATTGCTTTATACCCCTTTCGGCATAGTTCCAAATTGCTCTACAGAATGGTTGAACCAAGTCCCAATACCACCAACAGTGGATTAATGTCTCATTTTCCCACATCCCCTCCAAAATTTGTCATTTTCTTTTTCTGTCCTATTAGCCAATCTAATAGGTATGAAGTAGTACCTCAGAATTGTTTTAATTTGCATTTCTCCAATTAATAGTGATTTACAGCATTTTTTCATATGGCTATGCATAGCTTTGATTACTCCATCTGAAAATTGTTCATATCTTTTGATCATTTATCAACATGGAATGGCTTTTATTTTTATAAATCTGACTCAGTTCTCTATGTGTTTGAGAAATAAGACCTTTATCAGAGAAATTTGCTTCTAAATTTTTTTTCACAGTTACTATTGCTAACTGTATTTTCCTCCATCCTATTTCCTCCTCTGTTTATTCTATTCTCTCTCTCTTTTCACCCTGTCCCTCCTCAAAAATGTTTTGTTTCTGACTACTGCCTCCCCAATCTGCTCTCTCTTCTATCACCCCTCTTCTCTTCTCCTCTTCCCCTCCCACTCTTCTGGAGGGTAAGATAGATTCTATACCCAATTTAAGCCAATTCCAATAAAGGAAAGGTTCACTCAATCCCTCTCACCTCCCCTTCTTCCCTTATGTGAGATAATTTGCCCCATCACACTTTTCCCTTTCTCCCAATACATTCATCTCTCACTCCTTAATTTTATTTTTTAGATATCATTCCTTCATATTCAACTCACTCCTGTGCCCTCTGTCTACATATACTCCTAATAATGAGAAAGTTCTTAGGAGTTACACATTCATCTTCCCATGTAGGAATGTAAACAGTTTAACCTTATTAAGTCCCTTATGATTTCTCTTTCTGTTTTGTGCTTCTCTTGAATCATGTATTTGAAAGTCAAATTTTCTATTCAGTTCTGGTCTTTTCATCAAGAATGCTTGAAAGTCCTTTATTTCATTGAATGTCCATTTCCCCCCTGAAGAATTATACTCAGTTTTGCTGGGTAGGTGATTCTTGGTTGTAATCCTATCTCCTTTGCCCTCCAGGATATCATATTCCAAACCCTCTGATTCTTGAATGTAAAAGCTGTTAAATCTTGTGGTATCCTGACTGTAGCTCCACAACACTTGAATTGTTTCTTTCTGGCTACTTGCAATATTTTCTCCTTGACCTGGGAGCTCTGGAATTTGGTAATAATATTCCTGATAGTTTTCATTTTGGGATCTCTTTCAGGAGGTGATTAGTAAATTCTTTCAATTTCTATTTTACTCTCTGGTTCTAGAATATCAGGAGAATTTTCTTTGATAATTTCTTGGAAAATGATGTCTGGGCTCTTTTTCTGAACATGGCTTTCAGGTAGTTCAGTAGTTTTCAAATTCTCTCCCCTGGATCTATTTTCCAGGTCAGTTTTTTTTCCAATGATATATTTCATACTGTCATCTATTTTTTCATTCTTTTGATTTAGTTTTATTGTTTCTTGATTTCTTATAAAGCCATTAACTTCCATTTGCTCCATTCTAGTTTTTAAGTAATTATTTTATTAAGTGAGCCTTTGGACCTCTCCTCATTGGCTTTTTGTACCTCTTTTATCATTTGGCCTAGTCTATTTTAAGGTGTTCTTTTCTTCAATATTTTTTGTGTCTCCTTTACAAAGTTGTTGACTCTTTATTCATTATCACTCTCATTTCTCTTCTCAATTTTTCCTCTACTTCTCTTACTTGATTTTCAAAATCCTTTTTGCACCCTTCCATGGCCTAAGATCAATTCATATTTTTCTTGGAGACTTTGTGTGTAAGAGTTTTGATTTTATGATCTTCTTGAATATGTGTTTTGATCTTCCTTGTCACCATAGTAACTTTCTAGAATGGTAAGAATTTTTTCTGTTGTTTGCTCATTTTTCCAGTCTATTTCTTGACTTTTAACTCTTTGTTAAAGTTAGGTTCTGCTTCCAGGGTGGAGGGCACACTGCCCAAGCTTCAGGATTTTTGTGCAGCTGTTTTCAGAGGTATTTCTAGAGATCTGTAAGTTTTCAGTTCTTTCAAGGTGGTATGATTTAAGTAGAAGTGTTTACTACCCTCCTAGACTGTGCTCTAGCCTGTGAGTGACCACAAACATTCTTTTCTGCCATAGATCTGTGGTGAGGGTCTCTACTCCACTGTGGCCTGCAAGCTCTGGTGTGCTAGTGCCACTCTTTGCCCTGGGACTGCCACTCAGGACTATGACCCAGAGCTGCATATGGGTAAAGTCACAGAGTCCTGCCCTCAGTGCCAACAAAGAGACCCCTGTGATCTCCTTCTGATCAGCTGTTCAACCCCCTTAATGGCTGTGGTCTGAGAGCTCTGGAACCAGCCACTGCCACTGCAGATTCAGTGGCTTCCAAGGCCTCTAACAATTTTTTTAAATATCAAAATTTTGAATGATATCAGAATTGAAAAGTTAAAGTAACATAAGCATAAGCACCAACCACTTTTTCCTGAAAGCGTATGAGGGACACTGCTCCTGTCTCTTCATCCTCATGCTAGGCAGGAAGGGGACCATAGGGTAAGAGGAACAAAGGTTCTTGTCTACTATGCATTGGTCTCAGCCTAAAACTTCCATCAGTTCAAAGGATGAGGGGCTCACTCCTCAAATACCTACACTGCAGCAAAAACACACAAGAATACCAGTACACAGGCTACAGTGCTAGGGAAAAGGCATCCCTTTCCAGAGCACGAATGAGCTCTGCACTTCTATACATTTCATCAGTATGGATTCTCTCCATCTGCCCTTACTTCCTAGAGTTCTCAAGGCTCAAATTCAAGACCTAACAATCCTGGTGATGTCTGGATAAAAGTCTTCTCCATTGCTCTAAAAAGTTCTCCTTTGTTAGTTTCTATAATAGTATTCATTAGGGCCACACAGAAAGAGAAGAGTTATTGATCACAAGCAAGCAATACATACAGTTAATTTATGCTTCCAAATCTGAGCATCACCCAAGAAACTTCTGTGTTGGGCCCTTCCTCTCCTGACTGACAACCACCTTTCCTAGAACACTTTCTGAAAAGCTCCATCCATACCTTACTTCACTCCCTGCTTTCTAGCCATCTCCTCTACAATCTACTTGTAAACTGAAGGGACTTTCCCAACAAGTTCTGAAATTATGAACCATGATCAAATCAACCATACCATTCACTATTCCTGGATTGAGTACATTCCCTCTGTGCTCCCCTATTGCCCTACTCATTATTCCTATAACTCTCCAGACCAACTGCCCCTCCATGGCCACCTGTGAGGGATTGTCTGATGTTGGCTACGTGCCACATGGGAGTTGTGGCAAGATGGGGCAGGGACAAGATATTAGGAAGTAACCGGAGCTTACACTCCCGAGGCAGGGGGCTGTGCCATGTGGGAGTGGGACGGCAGAGAACGAGCTCCCTTTGTCTAGTCCTCTCCCTAGGTGCAGCACTAACCCCAGACGTCTCCTCCCAGTATCCGGGCCTAGCTTTCTGTGTCACGTACTCTCCCTTTGTGCAGCACTAACCCCAGACGTCTCCTTCCGGTATCTGATCCTACAATCATTCACTGGTAGGCGGGCTGAGGAGGAGGGGCTAGGAAGGTATATAGGGGCGGTAGGGGCGGGGCTCGCTCTCTCTTGCTCCTGCTCTCTTGCTCTTGCTTTCCTGCTTGGCCTTGCTGTGATGGCCTCTGAATAAAGTTTGAGTGCTTGCACCTCCTGATCGGCTCATCTCTGTGTTTATCCGGGTGGGCTCCGAAGACTGGTAAGTATGACCTTGGCAGCCTGCTCCTATTAGAAGGATAGTGCATGGCGCGACCGGCACAGCCACCGTTTGCCTATATGTGTTGTATTTTCCCATTACAATGGAAGCTCCTAAAGAGCAAAGATTATCTTTCTTTTTGCTTCTATTTGTGACCCCAACACTTAGTACAATGCCTTGCCCATAGTGAGTGCTGGTTTGACAAAAAAAAAACCTACACTAAGACAGAAATTCAGTGGTAAATAGAGTTTGGCCAGGTAAAATTATCCTGACCAATATTTGTGTGATGATTTAGGGATGGGTAGAGGTAGTAACTATTTCTGTGGATATCTAGCAAAATTGAGTTTTCAGAATTCACTAGAATCCTAACTCCAATATTCTCTCAGGCCCATCACAATTGTCCTAAAATATTAATGAAGTCAAGGGTCTCAATGGCAGAGTTCAATGGATGGAGAGAAAGAATAAAGAGGAATACTGGTAGAAGTTGTTATAGTCAAAAGTTAGGGAGTGGAAAATAGAATGAGATCCTGCCCAGGAGAATTCTAAAGGGGTCTAGATTATGTCCTATTTCCCTTAATGAAGGGTTCTTTATTTCAGAAGAAGCACAACTGCCTATGACTTATCAAACAACTCATTGCTCTTCCTTTCCTTGACTTGGGACAAACTCAAGATAACCTTTCCTAGACAGAAAGCCAGTCAGGCATATTGATTAGCAATATGGAAAAAGGCTTATCAGCTCACAAAGTGCATTTTTACCTGACCTTACCCATTCTTTCCAAGAATCATAAAGATATGGAGATGTTCTTATTGGAGGACATTATAAGCAAACATTTATTGATTGCCCACAGAGTATCTGAGCAGTCAGATGATATATAAGCCTTGAAAAATTTCTTGCCCCGAATTCAATTTCCATTAGGCCCCTTTGTAATTTATTTCAGGCCTTGAACAGATAGAACTATGTTACTTTGCAAGATTTCATAAGCCCCTTTGTAATTTACTTCAAGCCTTGGACAGACAGATTTATGTTACTTTGCAAGAGTTCATGGAGAAATTCCACCTGAATCTCAATTCTCCTCTTAGAGAATGTGCAAATCTATAGTACCTCTAATATTTCCTGAGAGAGGTTGCATGACTTTGAATGAAATACATCATTCTTAATGTCAAAGTGATGACTATTTCTGCCATAGCAGGTATATAAGTTTTCAAATAATATCCTTCTCCAAATGACTCCAAAAATTTGTTATTTTTGGTCAGTTTATTTGTTTTATCTGGACCTGTGATGTCAGTTCTGTAGAAATCTCCTAGTGATAAAAGTTCTCCAATCAATGAAGATAACCAACTGCTCTGCGACTAAAGAGATAAGACATTAAAAATTTTGCCTAGGTTCACAATGACATCTTGGGTCAGACCTCACATCTTTTTACCCTTGAGGTCAGATCTCTATACCATATAACTATATACTATACCATATAACTCTCCAAAGATATAAGTATAGAAATTAGCAACACTTTGGTATTTATTGTCTTTGCTTCCAAGTTAGAGCACTAGTAAAAGTGAGTTTTTTTAAGTGGTACATTCACTAACCATTCACTTGAGGCTTCCTAAAAAAAATTACATTTGCTAGAACACCAAACAGAATTGCAGATACACTGCAATGTACTCAATCAAAAAATGAGGGAAAAAATGTTAAGTGTCTACTTATTGAAGTAAATAAAAAATACTACAAGGATCTCAACTAATAATGGAATCATGGATTACAGGATCATAGATGTAGAGCTCAAAGAAGCCTTTATTTTAGAAATGAAAATTCAGAGTTGGAAGAGACCTTAGACATTGAATCCAATCTGTAGTTAAACAGGAAATCACTGATAAATACTCAGCCTCTGTAGGGAGTATATGGTTTGTCTTTCCTTCTCAAAGAGGACCATGACATCAGGAAGATGATGCCATGACTTGCAAGTGAACTGTTTTTAAGTGAGGGAGGGCTGTGCAAAGTCACCAGCCTCACTTTCTCCTCCAAAGCCATCTGAGTCTAATAGCCAGATATAAATCAGGATAGCTGGAGATGTCCCAGGAAGCAATGGGAGACCTTGACCTTTTTAAGCTAAGGTCTTTCTGAGTTCTCACTTTGACTAAGGCAACACTCATTCAGTGATTTGGGATGTTTAAGAAGTGAGCCAAAGGATGGCCCCTTTAATCCAAACCAAAAAAAAAAAAAAAATCTTGTACCAGGAAGTAGAAGAGGGACCCACATGAACCTGAAAGGTCATTATGTTGCCTTGAGGCTAAAAATTGAACTAACTATTGTATATCAATGAAATCACAGTTCTGGTTTTTTTAAAAAAGAGGAAAATAAAAGATTTCTGAGATCATGTGAATATAAAGAGGATGAAATTTACATACATAAAATTATATATACTTCTATGCATATCCATACCTGCAACCTTTAGTAATATATTTGTGATAGGAAAAGCAATGCAAAAAACACTAGATATGGAGCTCTCCAGTGAAAAGAATCCAACTATGTCGCAAGTTAGCCCATTCCATTTTTAGACACATCCATTTGTTATGAAGTACTCCTTGCTGCTTGTATACATTATTTAAGGTCCCTTTGGACTATATCTTGGCAATTCACACTAACAGATTCAGTCCCTCAGGAAATAACTACCCCAAGTTGAAACAACTTTGTGGACTCACATCCTAAAATTATTTAGCTCACAAGTCCCCAAAATTTCAGGAGGTACAATTAGCTCAAAGTAAAAAGGCATTTATCAAATGTCAAGTAAAGAAAAAAATAGCAATAAAACATCTTTTTCATAAACCTTAGGCTCATAAATATAAGCGGTATCAGTGGGAATAATGAATGATGAATGCTCATGGCAGACACAAGTAGAGAAGAATACAATTAAGGAAGACATTGGCAGAGGCAACTTATACCCTGTTGGGCCCATTGTATTCCCCAATATCTTCTCATGAACCCCTTGTGTTGCTTCTCATGGGGCATAGCATCTCTTCTTAGTGAGTCATTCTGCAGGGCCCCCTCTACCTTCTACTGGGTATGGTGCCATTACTTGGATGTAATTTTCCACCATCTCCAGCTTCAGGCTCACCTGAAATCCTGACTGAGATTATTACTAAGCATTTTTTTAAAGGCTCAAAACCCCTACCCTAGAACTAGTAGAGTCTTGGCTCTGGGGCCTGCTATGTTCCAGTTCCAATGCTAGATTCTTACCAACTCTACTTGAATCTGTACCTGGACTGTTCCACTGTACCCTGCCATATGATTCTGTTGCAAGATGTAATGGGGTAGGGGATGAGAGGAAGAACTCCATGCCCACCCTTATTGAACTGTCAAACAGGTACAAGGAAAAGATAATAAGCAAACTGCTTCCTCAGGACTGACCCTTGCCCCAGGAGTTCACTTATTTGACCCAGTTGAATTCTCTCTTCAATGTTCTTTTCAACTTTCCCTTACAGTACTTTTTGACTCTCAGTCTTATACAAATATTTAGCTTTAGGTAGAGTTTACCAGTCACTCTGGGCTTCATTTCCAACCAAACTGAATACAAGAAGACCCAATCTCAGAGTACCAGGGACCACTACTGGCATAAAAACTCAATAGCAAGAATAATTAAACTGAAGGCTACCAGATGGAATGCTTCATCTTCTTGGTACCTGTCCATCAATTGATCTTCTCACTTCTTATAGCTCCTCTCCTAGGGACAGCCTTGCAGAGTCTTTGTCTCCCCATTATGGGACTGTGTCTGAGCTTTCTTCCCCCAATAGGTCAGTGCCCCAAGATCTACTTCTACCAACCCTGCCATAGGTTATATAAGTATACCTTCCTCTCCCCAAATCACTCATTACAGATCTGGATCTTCTGGGTGTGACTGTGTAACTATTCATATAAGTATGTGTCTTATCTCTTTACCTAGACTAGGAACTCCATGAGAGGGTGAGTACTAGGTTCTCTCTCTCTCTCTCTCTCATTATCTTCTTGCTTGTTTTCTATGCCTATTATCAGCAGGGGGTCACCATGAGTCCTCATTTAACATTTTTCCAAGTCAAGAACAAGGCCTGATCAAATAGTCAGCCCTAAATTTAAAAAAGCAAAACAAAAACAAAAACCAATCAATGATTCCTCTACCTTTGGGTCTTTGATGCTCTTTGTAGATTTTTCTTCAGACCCTCTTGAATTATCTTTTATCCGTCAACATTCTTTGTGTCTTCATACCCATCATACCTCATCCAGATGTTATTATCATTCTTTTATTATTATAAATCATAGTGGATTCCCAAGGCCTGCATTCCAAGGAATATTCTCTCAATCAGATGCTTACCTTCAGTTCTGTAGATCCCCAGCCCAATAGTACTGGTCTATACCTAGGATAAATGCACAATGTCATAGTGTAAAAATATAAATAACTGATATATAGAAACAGCTAGCAAAATAAACTTTTTAGACTGTGCTGTCAACACCTAGAAGTTGTCACTATCAATAAAGAACCTTTCTTCCATTTGGACTCTGAGCTAAACATTTTCCATGACAATGACAGACATCTTTGGTGGGTATACATTTACTGTCTTTAGACTGGCTTTTGATAATAGTCACTGAATGAAATCATATATGTTGTTATACTTACAAGAAATTACATATGATTTTGATATATGCATGGGAGACATCTTGTTGGAGAAAAGCTTTTAAGGTTTATAATGCCAAACCAAATGCTTTTTTTATCATCAACAAACAATAAACTCAATAGGATCTTGTCCTCTCTGCCCCTTTCAGTCAATGGTATGACTGTAAAGATGTAGTCTGATGTGGAATATCATTTTGCAAAAGTCTTTTAGTTAATTATTACAATCTACATCAATAATAATTTCAATTTTTTTTACAAATTCTTATCATTAAAACATGAGAAAGCCAGTCCATGTGCATTTGTGTCTGAGTATTCGAATTGCACTTCTGCCATATTTCCATCTTTCAGGCATGGAAACATATTTCTGGAAGAACCATCACAATGGCTACCCAAGGAGAACCCCAACTTCAGTTCTGACTTGGTGACAAACCATATTTGTAAAACTTCATTTGACTGGTAAATTTCAGAAGTATGTAGCCACCTTTCATGTTGAAATCCCTCCCCCTGTGTTCCATACTAACAGAAGTATTATTAAATTCAACGTATGGGATACAGCTTACCAAAAGAAAATTGGTGGTCTGAGAGATGATCATTATATTCAAGCTCAGCATATCATTATAATGTTTGATGTAATATTAAGAGTTCTTTGCAAAATTTTACACAATTAGCATAGAAATCTAGTATGAGTATATGAGAATACCTCTATGGTCCTGTCTGGCAAGAAATGGGTAATAAGGACCCAAAAGTTAAGGTGAAATCCATTGTCTTCCATAGGAAGAAGAATCTCTAGTAGCATGAAATTTCAGACAAAAATAACTACAACTTTGAGAAACTCTTTCTTTGGCTTATTAGAAAACTTGTTGGAAGCTCTAATTTGGAGTTTTTGCCATGCCTAATTTTATTCTAGAGAGTGTCATGGATGAAGATCCAACAGCATGTTATGAGCAAGATGTAAAGATTGCTCAGACAGATGCACTCCTTAATGAAAATCTTATAAGGACTCAAGCTACAGTCCAGAATCCGAGGTCTGGCTTCATAGGGAGATGTCATGTGATGTCAGTGGTATAGAGTGTTTGCCACTTTATTATATAGCTGAGCAGAACATGTATTTTATCTTTGGGATGCTAAAAGAGATAAATGGACTTCAGAATGAATGTGGCACTTTAAAAAATATAACTCATATTTTGGACATGAGAATGTAGCTGTTTTGGACCACAATTACATCCTCCTTGACTTTCAAAATACAAGATTGCTGCAATCCCATAACAGTATTCAGTGATGACTCTTACTTGCTATGTTGTTTCCATTCCTTTTTCATTTAGATCATAATATCTAAAAAAGAGAAAGATGGAAAAATAGGCATACTTTTCCAGTCACCTTTTTTTTCTAATAAAGTCTGTAACTTTTTTTAAAGCAAGAACTATGTATTTATAGGAAGAAAAAGTTAAGCTATTTTTTAATGTGTTCTCAGGATCATGAAGAATCATTTCTAACTGATTATGCTGAACTGGAAGAAATGGATGGAAAGAATAAACATAGTTAATTTAAAACAGATGGAAGCCTTGACAGAGCCCAATGCAGATTTAACTTGGGATTTTTAAACATTTTTTTAACCAAAATTTTCTTAATTTTGTTTTTAAGGTGCCAAAAGTTACAGTTACAGAGGCATCCCAAAATCCCTAATAACTAGTTACTCGTTGGAATGGTTCATCTTGACCACACCTGGCCCTTAATTAGGTCTTCTGGGTTCCTGCTTGATTTTTTTCATGGCTGTCCTAACACTATGGATAGCAAGGCTCACAGACAACTGAATCCAGTAAGTAGAGCACTGGTTAAGCACTTCAAAATCCTGAGATTGAGCTCAAAAATGTAAAGTACCAAATTTACTGAAGCTTGGTGTTTTGTTAATGTTCCTCAATGTGTCTTGATCATTTTCAGTCTGGTGTTACAAAGCACTAGGAAAATTTAGGAAATTGTGTAGTTGGTTAATGAGCAGATATTTTTATTAGCTTAAGAGTTTTATCCCCCCAAAAATACCAATCAGTTTTCTAGCTATCAGCAACCGTGCAACAGATGAACTATGTAAGTTAAAGCTTGTAGAAAGAATCACTGAGGTTTCAGAAACTGCTGCTTTCCATTCTGTCCTCCTCTGTTGAACTCATAAATGAAAAATGGTGCAGCTTTTCATTTTTTAGATACTGGGAACATTTGGACTAGAACACTGTCAGTACAGATCCAGTGTAGAAGACTCACTTACTACCTACTAACATCAAGATAGGTTCTTGGTGAGAACTCTCCTGTTCCTAAGCAGGAATTGTTTTTACAACTGTTTTCAACTGATTGGCACCTCCAGTATTGTCATTTTTAGATCAAATTTCTTCGACTTCCAGAAAGATTTTTTTAGAAACAAACTAATGATGTTCCTCATTTAGAGTTTCTTCAGATGGACTAACCGCAAAGTATTCAGGCAAAGCCATAATCTCCCCTTCTATATTCTATGCTGTGGCCAGGGGCTCCTAACTAATCCCAGATACAGCCACTGCAGAATGATCTGCAGATTTTCTGCTTTTAACCAGTTCAATAAGCTCATCATAAATTGACTAATCTCCTCTTCTTTTAGGGGTTCACATATATGAAAATAAAAGATGCCCTTGAGGATCCTTCTTCCATCTTTTAACCTCCTCACTCCTTCTCCCCCATTACCCATCTTTATGCTGCCTACCTTGGAAAAAAACCCTATTAGACTACATGAAATGGTTGCTCTCAGAACAGTTCAGGCCAACATATGTCCTCAAGTGCCCTTTAGCTGATCAAAACTGTTCCCTATGATCTAAATGAATTTTACAGAAATAATTGTGGCTACTTTAGGGTTGGAACCCATGATACTCTAGTTGATTACTTGCTCTAAACAAAGTAGAGGTGTTCTTACTCTTCCTGTCATGACCTTCTCACCTGGAAAAGCCCTGACTAGGCCTTCAGATTTCCTTTACGAAAGAAATCTTTTTGTAATTTGTGGTTTAGACTAAGTATTTTATTGTTGGCATATATGACCTTGGCCATTTCTTGGATTCATTTGGAAATAATTGAATCACTCTGAATATCATGCTCCCCTGGAACTCTTTATGTTTAGAGATCACTTTGACAAGTGGAATGAGAACAGGAAAGGAAAGGATGTGACTGATTGCTACCAATTAATTGATGTTCAGAAGGGGGATCATATGCTGGTCACTGAAGGAAACCCAAAGGCTGCAGGTGACTCAGAAACTCAGAAAGAAGGAATTCACTTCAATAAAACTGAAACAAGAAAAGACTTGAAGGGTAAGGTCATTCCATGGAGAGATATCTCATTTTCTGTGAAATGAGGATATGAAAGTAAGACTATGTAGGTGAGGGATGGTAGACAAAACTAAAATGGTACCTTGAAATAATCATGCTAATATTAATATTTTGGATTAAATACATGAGGCTATATGATTTGTAATACACATATCTCATTTGGTGGTTAAGGCAGATTTTTTCCATATTTTACAATGAATGAACTGACTCAGAAAAGTTAAATGACTTTACCAAAATCACTAGGAAGTGGCAAAGCTGAGATTCAAACCCAGATCCTCTGACTTCAAATCCATTGACTCCACCTTATCACTTCAAGTCTTCCACTACAACTCAAGCCATGCACTTGAGCACAATGTTCATGCTCACATTATTCCTGACAAAAGTAAACAGATTCTTCCCTCTAAGTACATCTTCCACCTAAGCTAAATATGACAACTTGACCAAGTAGTACACATGAGAAGGTATACTCTCCAGAATAAGGATTGACCACCTGTGTGGCATGAGTGTTCCTATGGTGACTGAAATCATTGTTGGTGTATGGCACAGTGAAATTGAAGCTAGAAGGCCTGGACTTGACTTCCAGATCTACCACATACTTTCTTTGTAATCTTGGGCAAGTGACATTATCTATCTGAGCCTTGATTTCCTCATCTGTAAAACGAATAGTGTAGGAATTATTGCATTACTTTTCAAAAATAGCTATCAAAAGAAAATATCTTGCAAACTGTAAAACACTATACATATATTAGATATGATATTGTTATTATTGTCATCTTTATTGAAAGAACAAAGCCAATTTCCACCTGTTACTATTTTCTCTTTTCCTTCTCTTTATCTTTTATCTCTCCTACCTTCTTATAAGTTCTTACTCACTTCCTTTTTCCTTTCTTTTTTCCTTTTCCCCATCTATTCCCAAGACCATCTACTGGTACCCACAGACATTGCTAAGAGATTATTCTGGGCTAAAAATGTTGCTGAACCCTGTACTGGAGACATAAACTTAGTCATTCAACAAGCATTTATTAAGTGCCTACTATGTGCCAAGCACCAGTACTAAGCTCTGGAGGTAGAAAGAAAGGTTAGAAATAGTCCCTACTTTCAAGAAGTTCACGTTCTAGTGGTGAAGACACTATATCAATAACTAAATACACACAAGATATATCCAGGAAGGTAATCTCAGAAGGGAAGGCACTAACAACTAAGGAAAAACTGGAAAAGGACTCACACAAAATGTGGACCTTGAGCTGAGTTTTAAAGGAAGCCAAAGATACTACAAGATGAAAGTGATAAAGGAGAGTATGCCTGGTATGGGGATCAGTCGATGCAAAGACAAAGAGTCAAGAGAAAGTGTTACGTGCAAGTGACAAGGCTGGTGTCACTAGATTATAATGTTTGGGGTGGGGGGAAGGGGGAGTAAGATTTAAGGTTAGCCTGTCTGCCTAGATAGTTTTACTGGGATGTGGCTGCTGGCCGAGCTATGGCTTCTTGGAGCCACAGGTGAGAGTTGGGTGAAAGGTGGACACTAAAGGTGTATGAGCAGCCCTGAAAAAGACTGGTCAAGCCTTCATCCCGGAGGTGCTAGTCTTCCCAACAGGCCTCAAACCCACTGGTGAGTTAGAAGGGTGTCTACCCAACCATGTGAAGACTTCCCTCAGTGGAATTGACAGATGAGAGCAATTTGCTCCAATGGCAATGCAAGCAGCTGAATTAGGTGTTGTGGAGCCCTTAAAGCTTGGTCATCCATCAAAGACACCAAAATCATCCACTGCATCCAGGGCTATCACCAGTCACCCTGACTTTTGCCTTCCCACTGGACTTGTATGACTATGAAAGAGAGAGTGAAGCTGATGACTTTGGGCAACTTTGCCTCACTTAAATCCAATTCATATATAAGTCAAGACATCACCCCATTATGTCATTGGTCCTCTTCTGAAAACAAAGGAACAATAACAACAGGGTATAAGATGATTTCACCCAACTCTCACCTGTGGCTCCAAGAAGCTATAGCTTGCCCAGCAACCACATCCCAGTAAAACTATCTAGGCAGATAGGCTAACCTTAAATCTTATTCCCCTTACCCCCCCCCCCAAACATTATAATCTAGTGACACCAGCCTTGTTGCTTGCAAGTAACACTTTCTCTTGACTCTTTGTCTTTGCATTGACTGATCCCCATATCAGGTATACTCTCCTTTATCACTTTCATCTTGTAGGATCTTCTACAATATGATCAAACTAAGAGATTTTCTTAGGACATTGAATGACCACAAGCTCATAGATTTAGAGGTAACAGGGAATTTAAGAGGCAAAATAGTACAACCTCATCATTTGCAGTTGAAGAAACTGAGGTGCAAAGAATGACTTGCCCAAATTCACACAGCGAGCCAAAGAACCAGGATTTTAATTCAAGTCCTCAGTCTCCAAATCCAGCGGTCTTTCCACTGCCTTCCTCCAAACTATGTGAAAGTAGGAAACTAATTTACCTTTAAACTTCTTTTTCATATTCCAGTTAAGGAAATCAAAACAGTTTCGGTGAGATAGTTGGAGAAATTTATGTATCATCCCCATTGTGCAGAGGAGCATGAGAATATCTTTATAGGCATCACCTTGAGCTTCTAAGCCTTGGTAATAAATTGGAAGTAGTAATCTAGTTGTGTAAGAGAGATCCTGAGCGTTAATAAACAGAAAAATGTCACTTCAGCACCTTTCAAAATAAGGGAAGAACTCAAACTAAAAGGGAAGGGGGATAATAAATCCAATAAACAGGCATCAGCTCACTTCTCAAAGTTTCTTCAAGAGGAATAATGGGGTCATAGTTTTTAGTTATTCAAATGCCACTACTACTATTTTGAAAAACACAGCCCTTAGGATGCCAAAGGTTTTCTTCTTCTTAGTCACCTGTAGTTCTGCTCAACCAAATAGAAGAGATCCGAAAAGATGTGAAACAAAACTACAAACTATGGACAGACTTAATTTGTAAGGTATAATTTCACTCTGCCACACTGAAACAAACAATTAAAGAGGAAAGGGAGGCAGAGAAAGGGAAGGAGTAGACAAGAAAGAGAAGCGTTAAGGGGAATGTCATCTCCTTTGCCTTGGAATGGGAAAGGACTGTGGACAAACTGCTAACAAAAAAAATTATTATTATTATTGTTGTTATTGTTGTTGAGTTTGTTATTTCAGTTGTGTCTAACTCTTCATGACCCCATTTGGGGTTTTCTTGACAAAGATACTAGAGTAGTTTGCCATTTCCTTCTCCAGCTCATTTTACAGAAGAGGAAACTGAAGTAAACAGAGTTAAGTGACTTGCTCAGAGTCTCACAACTCGTAAGTATCTGAGGCCAAATTTGAACTCAGGTGTTCTTGACTCCAGGCCCAGTGCTGTATCCAAATTTTACCATCTGACTTTGGAACATAGGAAAATGCCTGAAGGTTCTAGTCAGAGGTTACTCAGAAAAACTTAGAAGTTACTCAAGTAGAATTATTGAATAAGATGTTCTGGGTTCTTGTCCCAGTTCTCCCACTGGCTATGTAGTGTTAACCAACTTGCTTCTTAGGTCTCAGTTTCCCTTTCTATAAAGTGAGAACATTGGATTTGATCATCTTTAAATTTCCTTCAAGCTTTAACATTCCATGACCTGGATTTTATCAAGCCAGTTGTCCAATAAATACACATCCTACTCTTTCTCTAGGGATCTCAGAGAATATCTAGACCAACCCCTTCATTTTACAAATGAGGAAACTGAGGCCTAGGAAGGCTGAGTTACCCAAGGACCCAAAGATAGTAAACATCAGAGGTAGGATTTGAATTAGGGTCCTCTGAGTCCAGAGACAAGGTAGATACACCTATAAACCCTCTGGGCCTCTAAAGTGAATCAGTCAGCTCCTGGAATAGTGTATCTGACCATCTTGTCTGATGTTAATCTTGGTTAGCTCCTGATTCTCTATTTGGAGATCACTACCAACCTCCTGCATTTGTGGCCACTCTCCTAAGCTTCCAACCAGTTTTTCTACATCTGTTCCTCACTTCTACTCAGAAGTAAGAGACAAAAAGTTAGTGGAGGGAAATTATTTGAGCTGTACTAATCCAATTCAATAAATATTTTTAAGTGCTTACTATAAGTTAAGAACAGTACCAGATTAGGCACACAGCTACAAAGATGAAAAATAGCACAGTCCCTGCCCTAAAGGGACTTACAGTCTATCTTCCAGTCCCTCCCTTCTCCCCCCCCCACACCTGCCTGCCCCCAATCAAAGCAGAGGATTTAATAACATCTTGACTTGTATTAGTGATAATTTCATGCTTCAAAATGTCAAGAAATCAACAAGAAGAAATATTATTCTAGATCTGATTGGTTTCTGGAGTGGGGTAGAAATTATGGGAACTCTGGGAGAAAATGGCTATCCATTCCCAGAATTTTAGATAAAGAAAACAAAATACAGGAAGAGATTGGCACCCACCTAAACTTGGGGAAAGCAAATTTCAAAGGGTTGAGAGGAAAGACAGGTAGGGTCCCATGAAATAAAATTCTATACAGTGTAAGCCCAAGAGAGATGGGAGAAGCCCATGAATGAAATCTCAAAATGTAAAGGGAAATAATTCCAACTGAGGAGGAAATATAGGATTTGTATGTAGGATATGGCTATGTGGAAAATTCACTAAACAATTTAAATTTTTTTAAAGAAATGTTCAGAAGATAGAAACAAGACCAAATAATAGAAAATGAATATGAGCATGGCATGATTCTGAAAAAATGGAATCAGAAATGCTAATGAACTGAGACTAGCAAGTGAAGCTAAAAAGAAGGTGGGGATTATTTTTAACTATGTGGGGAGAAAAGAGAAGCTCAAAGAACAGATAAAGATTTTTGGTAAAGTAGATGAAAAGATGATAACTAACAAAAGAGATAAGGTACATTTTCTCAATTCTTACTTAACTTCTGTTTTCTCTGCCAAGGAGAATCACTCGTAAAGTAGATATGACAGAACAAAAGTGACAACTAAGAAGTTGATATCCAGAAAAAGTAAGGAGTAGTATCACTGGATGAATTCACATCATCTGGCTGAGATATACTACACTTGTAGAAATGGAAAGAACTGGCAGATGTTATTTCTGAACCATTGTCAAAGAGAGTTGAAAGATCTTGGAAAATAGAAGAAGGGTAACAAAAATGGAGAAAGGGAAATGTCCCAATTTAAAAAGAGAGAGAGAGAACAGAGTTTCCAACCAAAAGCCAATGATTTTGACTTTCATTAATGGCAAAATCTTGATGAATATCTAGAAAAGGAAGCTATGATTATAAAGAGCCATCATGATTTCAGACTACCACTATTTCCTTTTATGGCAAGATTACTAAACTAGTAGATGAGAGAGATGGTGTGAATAGAGTTTACCTAGATTTTTGAAAATTTTTCGATAAAGTATCTCACACTATTATTGTAGAGAAGGTGAGGCCTTATAGACTGGATGATAATATAATTAGGTGGATTTGGTGCTAGTAGATTGGTCATTTTGAAAAATTAATTTTAATGGTTTTGTGGTAGGAGGTCCCTAGTAGAGTTCCTCCAACGTTATTGCCCTCTTCTATTTGACATTTTGATCAATGACTTGGGTAAAGGCATAAATGGCATAATCATCACATTTGCAGATGACACCAAGCTGGGAGGGGACAACTGACATACTGAATGAGAGACCTGAGATCCAAGAGGGCCTTGACAGGCTAGAACATTGGGCTGAACCTAATTAAAGATGGCTCCATGCTTGGTTCCACCCGTATTTCTGTCCCTCATAGATTCTTAAAATTAGAAAGGATCTTAGAAATCATCTAATTCAACCTCCCAACCAACATGTAGAGAATCTCTTTTACAGTATCTCAGAGAGATATTAATCTTCTTGAATATTTACAGTAAAAGGGAACACTTTAACTAAGCCAATCCATTCCATTGTTGGGTAGCTTCAATTGTTCTTGAGTTGTGTCTAATAATAAGTTAGGGGGGAAATAGAAGGTGTCATAATGAAAATAACATAGGACTAGTAATCAGAAAATATTGGTTCTGGAGCTACTTTGCCATCAACTTACTATGTAAACTTGAGCAAGTCACTTAATTTCTCTGGGTTTCAAATTCCTCGCCTGTAAAATAAAGAAGTTGGATTAGATGATCTCTGAGGTCCTTTTCGGCATTCTACTTTCTATATTCTTAAGAATCTGCCTGGGGCAGCTAGGTGATTCAGTGGATAAGGCCCTGGCCTTGAGGACCTGAGTTCAAATCCAGACACTTGACACTTACTAGCTGTGTGACCCTGGGCAAGTCACTTAACCCCTATTGCCTCACCAAAAAGCAAAAAAAAAAAAAAAAAAAGTATCTGCCTCCTTGTAACTTTTACCTATTGTTCCCAGCTCTGCCTTCTAGAGCTAAAATAAAATTTATTCTCTCCTCCACATGATAATCCTTCAAATATTTGATAAATATCAATCATATTGACTCAAAGTCTTCTCTTCTCCAGGTTTAACATTCCCAGTTTTGTCAGCCATTATTCATATGACATGGTTTCCAAATGATGCACTGTCTTAGTAATCTTTCTTTAGAAAGCATGGCTTCATTTTTGCATTTGTGACACTGGTGCCTAGTACAATGCCTGTTGTTGTTCAGTCCTTTCAGCCATGTTCAACTCTTCATTTGGGAGTGGTTTGCCATTTCCTTCCCCAGCTCATTTTGCAGATGAGGAAACTGAGGGAAATAGGGTTAAGTGATTTGTCCAGGGTCACATAGCCAGTAAGTGTCTGAGGTCAGATTTTAACTCAGGAAGATGAGTCTTTGTGACTCCAGAGCTGGCACTCTATCCATTGCATCACCGAGCTGCCCACAATGCCTAGTAGGAGCTTAATAAATGCTTAATAATTTATTGACATGCTCTGGCTTGTCAATGTACCTCCCGGAAAGTGATTACAATATATATATATATATATATACACACACACACACATACATACATATATATATACATACATATATATATACACACACACACATATATATATATATATATTTGACAGGAAATAAGTACAGTAGGACCACTGTCTCCCATGGTCCAAACACTTTATCTCTTTCTCTCCACCCCTTTGATCTACCTCTTCCTCCCTCATCATACACACCTAAAAGGAAGCATGGTCTCAGCATCATAAGAAAAAAAGACAAGCTCTCTGCAGATTAGGAGGGATTTAGGGAACAGACTTTCATTACCACCTGCTGCAAGGTCACTGACTTTAGCCTGACAAATTGCCAACTACTTCAGGAAATGGAATCTCATTAGTGTAATTGAGGCTTTGGCAAGCCTGAGATGCTCAATTTCTAATTTTTGAAAATGTTGAGAAATAAAATGGCAGCTGTTTAAGAGATATCGATGTGTACTGTTATATTCTGAAATCAAGAAAGGAGTAGTTTAGTTGAGAGTATCACTTGCTTCTGAAAGATCAGACATTTATTGGGGCTAGAATACAATCCAATATGACATTTAAAATTGGAATACCTAAATCTAAACAAACAAAATAATACATTTAGTTCTTGCTCTCATTTGTTCATTTATCAAAGTTATTGAATGCCTACTATGTGCAAAAGAGTTGGGCTATGCTAATTTTGAGTGAGGATCTTCCCCTCACCTTCCCATACCTCAGCACACCCACCTCCCCTCCAAAAAATCCTTCCATCACTAACTGGTCTGATACTTATGGACATCCCTAAAAAACAGTCATTTTGTTTTAACATTCTTTCCCCCACCCCAAATTTTGCCACTCTTAGAAAGATGTTTTACCATATTTACACCATTCTCATTTTCAAACCCTGAGAAATTATACACTGGAAAAAGAGAGCTGATATTGGTCCTGCTTTGCTAAACCCACCCAGGGCCTAAGTCCCTGGTCATCTGTGACATCAGATCCCATCCAAGGGAAATAAATGCAAAAAGACTTTATGATTGAAAAAAAATGTACATATGCCTTTCTCTCTGCCTTCTGCTTCTGCCAATTTTCAGTCAAGATACAAAAGCAAAACAACAACAAAGTAAATGGATCTAACATGAGGCAATTAGGTTAAGAATAAGCTAGCATTTTCTGGTGCCACTAAAGTATGACCAGCATTGGAATAGGTTAGTAAAAAAAAAAAAAAGGTATAGAATCATCTTTTCTGGATGTTTTAGAGATAGGAGAGAGCCTCATTTATATAGGTTAGTTTACCTGTAACCATTTCTGAAGATGTGGATTGAATGACCTCTCAAGATCCCTTCTAACCTTGAGATTCCAAGATAATCTGATAAGCTTTTTGAAGTTGCTTGAGATAAACTGAGGATGCTCATTATCACTTTATTACATAAGAATTAAATGTATTCCTCTCAAAAGAGGGCCTTTACATTGGAGTATGAGACGTGTCAAGGGCAAATTAATTATCTTATAAAAATGCAAATGATGGAGTGGAACAAATAATTTAACTCTTAGTCAATTGAATTTTACTATATTGGGGAGAGTGTGGCCCTTATTATCTCTTCTTAATTACATTCCTAAGAAAGAGAATCCATACAATACATGTAGCAGGAGCTGAATAATTGCCCATTCTAATACCACAGAAACCAGTAACACAGCTGGCAAAGCACCCAACAATATTTATAAAATTCTAACAGGTGTCAGAAAACAAATCATGGCAACAAACAGATGTGATTTATCTTCTAACATAATGTAGTCCCTGGTTCAGGTTTGGAGGAGACCTATTTTATGCTTAGTTGCACAAGCCTTTTTGTAGTTGTACCATTTGATCAACAATAAAGAATTCAGGCTTGGTCGTTGTGTTGGTCTTGGGAGAAAGAGAATACCCTATTTGTGACTCTTTAATTAGCTTCCTGTGTCTCCCTTTCTTTCTTAAAACAGATTGGAAGTTACCAGACCAGTTGGGAACTATTCATTCACAGCTGATCTCTTTAAATTCAGACTCCCAAAGGGTTGGAGGACAAAATTGGCAACAGCCTCCCCGATTAGCAAACAATTTCAGGATACATGAGGTGAGTCTCAAAGGTATTCACTATCTCCACTAACCCTTTTCTGATAGAGAACATCACAGCACTCTATCTTTAGTCTGGAATCATTCATAGGTGTTCTGAACAAGGTGAGGTTGTTGAGGTCAGATTTGGGACAGCAGTTTGGATGTGAAAGAATTCACTTAGACAACTTTCTCTTTACCAATGGGAGCCTTTTATTTTACATGAAAAAGCATCATGAGCACCATAAAGCGAGAAACTAGTGAAAGACCCTGATATTTGGAAGGACCAGGCTTATATAGACAGAAAGCAATACAGCCTGAAGATGTTCAGGATGATGTAGTTTTAGGATTTTATGGTGGTTGAAGATAAGGACAGGATGAGGAAGACAGGGGAAATTTTATGACACAGAATGAGGGAGATGGTTGCTTACAAGATAAGGTGAAATTTATGACACAGGATGAGGGGAAAAGGACTTTGGATGTCCTCAAGTTACAAGTTAGGATCTGAAGTTTCAGAATGGGCTACAGAATGAGCCCCAACCCCCCCCCCCAGGGGGGTCTTCACAAAGTACTAGAAAAGCAACCCTTAATATTATTTTTAGCCCTTAGAGCACCATATGCTATACCCACATCAAGGTGGCTGTCACTTATTATAGTGGAGAGGTTGAAAGAAATGAGGCAATTATTCTGTCCTAACTCACTCCCAATGCCCATATAAGATGGGCAATATACTGATCAGCTCCTGAATAAATCCCAAAATAAAAACTCCCAGGAATATTATAGCCAAATTCCAAAGCTCCCAGAGGAAAGAGAAAATACATCAGTCAGAAAAAAATATTCAAATACCATGGAGCCATAGTCAGGCTCACACAAGATTTAGCAGTTATCACATTAAAGGAGCAGAGGGCTTAGGCATGATATTGTGGAAGGCAAAGGAGATAGGATTATGACCAAGAATAACCTGCCCCCCAAAACTTAGTGGAATCTTTCAGGGGGAAACTTAAATATTTAATAAAATAGACTTTCAAATATTCCTGATAAGAAAAGACCAGAGATAAACAGAAAAATTAATTTTCAACTATAAGAGAAGCATAAAAAGATAAACATGAAAAAGAAATCATAAGGGACTCAATAAGGTTAAATTGTTTACATTCCTCTATGGAAAGATGATGCACATAACTCTTTTTTCCCATAGAATGTCATGTATTAGCAGTTCAACTCAATATTTATTGACTGCCTACTATATGCATAACTCTATACTAGGCACTAGTAATGCAAAAATAAAAATGAAAGAAAACACAAAACAATTTGATGAGGAAGAAAATACTAACATCTTAATGCTAATGTCTTCCCTCTATTGCTTATCTCCACTTTATATTTTTTTTATTTTTTTACCAGTTGTTTGCCTGTTATCTCCCCCATTAAATGGTGAGCTCCTTGAGACTAGGGGTTTTTTATTGTTATTGTTATTTTGTTTGCCTTTCTTTGTGTCCCTAGCACTTAGCACAGTTCTCAGCTCAGGGTAGATGTTTAATAAATGTTTATTGACTGAGTGACACCTGAGTGGATCTGAAAAGGCCTCTTGTAGGAAGCAACACCTGAAGTGAACCCTGAAGCAAGCTAGATTTACAAGGCAGATCTGAGGAGGACATACACTCCATGCATGGGGACAGGCTATGAGAAGGTGGGAACACTGGACATGGAATGTTAGGTTTGGAAAGAACTAGTAGCCTAGTTTGGCTGAACAACAGAGTACATAATAAGAAGTGATGTTGAATAAGTTGGGAGAGGTAGGCTAGAATCAGAGGAATCAGATTGTGAAGGGCTTTAAATGCCAGGTTGATCATTTTATATTTCTTTTTTTATTAATCTATTTTGATTTATCAACAATCACTTCCATAAGCTTTTGAGTTTTAAATTTTTCTTCCCCTCCCTCCCTACCTGTCTCCCCAAGACAGAGCACAATCTGATATAGGCTATACATATACATTCCTATTAAACGTATTTTCGCATTAGAGATGTTGTAAGGAAGAATTAGAACCAATAGGAGGAACCACAAGAAAGAGAAAACAAAACAAAACAGAGGAAAAAAATAGCAAATAGTATGCTTTGATCTGCATTCAAACTCCATAGTTTTTTCTTTGGATGTGGATAGCATTTTCTATCATGAGACCTTTGGAGATGTCTTAGATCCTTGTGATGCACATAACTCTTAAGAATTTTGTCATTATTAGGGCAGTTAGAAATACTCTACATAGGCCATGGGAACAGGACTGAGTCAATTATGTTGGGATGAGCTAAAAAAAAATGGATGGGTGAGAAAGAGGATGCACTGCAAAAAGAAGGAATGGAGAAGAATGAGGAAAATCATTTCACATAAAAGAGGCAGAAAAGGAAGAGCTTTTACAATGGAAAGGAAATGGTGGGAGGGGGTGGGCAACAGTTGAACCTCACTCTCTGAATTGGTCCAAAGAGAGAATACACACACACACACACACACACACACACACACACACACACACGCACACACACACACTCAATTGGGTACAGAAATCTTTCTCACCCAAGAGAGAAGTAGGAGAGGAAGGGGGAAAGAAAGAGGGAGGGTAATGAAAGGCAGGGCAGATTAAAGGATGTGGTGTGATCTGGAGCAAAAAAGACTGTTGAGGAGGGACAGGGTAAAAGAGAGAATTAGAAGGATAAAACAGAAGAAAATAGGATGAAGGAAAAAGGACAGTTAGTAATCATAATTCTGAATGTGAATGGGATAAATTCACCCATAAAATGGAAATGGATAACAGAATGGATTAGAAACTAGAATCCAACAAGATGTTGTTTATAAGAAACACACTTGAAACAGAGATACACCAAGAGAGTTACACTAAGTGGCTGGAACAGAATCTATTATACTTAAGCTGAAGTTAAAAAAAAAAAGCAGGGGTAGAAATTATGTTCCCAGAAAAAGCCAAAGCAAAAACAGATATAATTAAAAGAAATAAGCAGGTAAACTACATCTTGCCTATAAGGCACCATAGACAATGAAGTAATATCAGTACTAAATATAATGCCAAAAAGTACAGCATCCAAGTTCTTAAAGGAAAAGTTAAAGGAGTTACAGGAGGAAATAAACAGTAAACCCATACTTGTGGGAGACTTCAACTTTCCCCTCTCTGAGCTAAATAAATCTAGCCAGAAAATAAATTTTTAAAAAAGTTAAATAGATGAATAGAATTTTAGAAAAGTTAAATATAATAAAACTCTGGAGAAAATTGAATGGGAGTAGAAAGGAGTATAACTTTTTTTCTCAGCTGTATAGGGCACCTTCACAAAAAAAATTGACCATGTATTAGGACACAAAAACTGCACAAACAAATACATAAAGGCAGAAATAATAAATTTACCCTTTTCAGACCATAGTGCAATAAAAATTACATTCAGTAAAGGGCTATTGAAGCAGAGATTTAAAAATTAATTGAAAACTAAATAATCTTATTCTAAAGAATGAGTGGGTCAGAGAAAAAAGCATAGAAACAGTCACTTCATTAAAGACAATGACAACAATGAGACAACATACCTGGAGAAGAAAATATTCAAGGAGGGAATTATTTGAAAAGCTGTCCTTAGGATGAGGGGTTAGACTTATCCTGTTTGGCCTCAGAGGGAAAAAACCAGAGGCACTGAGTAGAACTTAAAAAGAGACCAAATTAGGAAATTGAGGGGATGCCATCACTTGGGAACTGGCTGAACAAATTGTGATATATAATTGTGATGGAATACTATTGTGCGATAAGAAATGATGAGCAGGATGGTTTCAGCAAAACCTAGGAAGACTTACATGAACTGATGTAAAGTGAAGTGAGCAGAACCAACAGAGCATTGTACATAGTGACAACAACATTGTAAGAATGATCAACTGTGAAAAACTTAGCTACTCTGATCAAGACAGTGATCCAAGGCAATTCCAAAAGACTCATGATGAAAAAACTATCCACCTCCAGAGACAGAATTGATGAACTCTGAGTACAGATTGAAGCATACTTTTTTAAACTTTCTTCATTTTTCTTGTTTGTGTGTGTGTGTGTTTTCTTTTTGCAATATTGCTTATATGAAATATGTTTTGCATGACTTCACATGTATAATCAATATAGTATTGCTTGCCTTCTTAAGGAGTAGGAAAGGGGTAAAAGGGAGGAAGAGAATTTAGAACTCAACTTTTTTTTAAAATGAATGTTAAAAAATTTTACGTTTAATTTAGAAATATGTAATGAAATAAATTAAAAAGTATTGAAAAAGAAGGAAAGAGAAAAGAGACCAGTTTAGGCTTGATATCAGCAAAATCTTCCTAACAATTCAAGTTTGCCAAAAGTGAAATGGATTGCCTAGGGAGGTGATAGGTTCCCTCTCCTTAGAGACCTTCAGGCAAAGCCAAGATGTATGCCTGTATGTCATACTTGGGGTTCCTTTTGTTTAGTGGCCTAGATGGCCACTAAAATCCCTTCTGACTCTCAAATCCTGTGACTTTGTTCATCTCTGAAACCAGTATAGAAAAGACTAGAGAGACACAGAAAGGCCATTTCTACCTTCTTCACTCCACAGAAAAAGCTATAAATTGTAAGACTATGGTTTTGTCCAGCAGGACTCTACATGGTTTGGTCCAATCACATGTCAATGGGATGATTGGTTAAAAGTGACCTTAAAGGTCCAATCTCATTTTACAGATGAGGAAACTAAGGCTCAGAGAGACAGTGACTTGTCCAAGGTAACAAAACTTGGAAAGTAGCAAGGCTGAGATTTGAAACCAGGCCTTCTGACTTTAAATCCAATCCAATACCCACTCTACGATGTTGCCTCCAATCTTGCATTGAGGAGAGCTTTACAAGGAAAGTTCTAAGAATTCCCTGTGGTAGTTTAGTTGGAAAGAGGTTGAAAATCCTCTAAAATAGAGGATTTAAAATCATAACAACAAGGTTCAAGTTCTGATTCTTCCACTTCTCTTGTACCTCAATGATCCATAATTTTGTCATTATGGGTACTCCCTCCACTAATGCATATGACAATGCCTGTACAACGTGGTAAATGGTTCATAAGATTATAACTTTCAATCAGGATAGGGACTTTAGAGTCATTTTAAGCTGTTACATACATAAATGAGCAGGCTTGTTTCAAAGAGCAGGCTCAACCATAAGGACAAATTTCTGGCACCATTTGGCAAGCCCTCTCTCCCACTTTGCTCTACCCCTATCTGTGGCTCTCTGGAGGTGGTACTGGGCCAGGAGAAATTGGCGGTGGAGACTACTCTGTGCATAAGTTTCTTTGCCTATAGAGCCAAAGTGGGAATATTTAGCTTCTTGTTCTTCATATAAGTAGTGAAATAAGACTTCAGGCCCTTTAGGTTGACTAATAATCAAAATAATTCAAATCTACATAGCACATTAAAGTTTACAAAGCCAGGTTATCTCTTCTCTTCCTTACCTGCAGGACCCAGATTAGCTTCTCTCCTATTCACAGAGCCATAGAATATCAGAGAAAAGTGAGACCTTAGAGACATTCTGATTTAACTCCCTTCTCCCATTTTACAGATGAGGAAAATTGAAGGTAAAAAGATTAAATAACTTCTCCAAGGTCGCATGACAAATTAATGGCAAAGCTGGAATTAAAACTCTGATCTCCTGATTACCAGCCAGGCATGCTATTTCCTTTACACCATGGTCCCATCTATAATATGGGATGTGGTATCTCAATCAACTTCTTCTTCTGGACACTGGGAGAATCAAGTACAGGGCATGGGATATAAGAAGTGCCTCGTAGAATGGAACAGAAAGCAGCTTGACTGTTTTGTATTCATTCATTTTTTTCTGTTAATGTGTTAAAACTGTATGAGTGTTCATTCATTTCTTTTCACTTTGTGTGACAGGGTCCTTTTAAACACTATATGGACTCAAAGCTGGGGAAGCGGCTAGCAGGGAGGAAAGAACGCCGGTGTCGATTTGGAGATATTAATGTTCACAAGTGCTGCCAGTTTGGAAAGATCTGTTCTCCGTTCCAGGCTCTGGCCACTCCAGTGAGCATGCTCTTTTTTTTTCTTGAATGGGTAGTCACAATATCATACCATCCCCCTATTTTTGGGGGGGACAATCAGGGTTAAGTGAACTACCTAGGGTAACACAGCTAGTAAATATCTGAGGCTAGATTTGAACTCAGGTCCTCCTAACTACGGGGTCAGTACTCTATCCACTGAACCATCTAGCTGCACCCATCACTTTTTAAAGGGATGAAATCGACAAGTACATATTAACATCTGCTGTGTGGAAGGGCTACTGATGGGGGATAGGGATACAAAAAACAAACAAACCAAAACATAACAATCAATCAATAAGCATTTATTAAATGCCTACTATGTACCAGGCACTGTTGTAAGCTCTGGATATAACATACCGTACAAGATAACATAGCAAAACAAGTCCTTTCCCCAAAGAACTAATGAGGGATATAGCACACGCACATTATGTTGAAGAACATTAGAGGAGATAAATCCTTAACAACAGGGGAGATCAGGAAAGATTTCCCCTAAAAGGTGGTACATGGAGGAAGGTAAGGAAGGATTCCAAAACATGAAGGTGAGGAAAGAGTACATTCCAAGACTTTGCAAAGACGTAGAGGAAAGAAAGGGTTTTACCTAGTTTGGTAAACAGCAGGTAGGACAGGCTTCCTGCAATACAGAAAACATGCTAGGTGGCTGTGTGAAATATATTTACAAAGGAGAGCTGTATCTAGTACCTGTAATGGTACATGGGAAGGAACTGTAAGATAGGAACAGTGTTATGAAAACCAAATATGAAGAGAGGAAGGGGTGGTTAACAGTATCAAAAGATTTAGAGAGATCAAGACGACCAAGAAACTGAGAAAAGGCCATCTGATTTAGCAAATAGATGATGGTTGGTGAATTTGGAGGGAACAATTTCAGGCTAGTGTTGAATTCTGAAACCAAATTGAAAGACATTGTGAAGCGAGTGAGAGAGGAAGTGGAGGCATTAAGGGTAGATAGCTTTTCCTAGTTTGTTTATTTGCTTTTTTAACTATAAAAGTGAGAAGAAATTTAATATAATAGCTTAAGGGTGTGGAAGCGAAGGTCCTTTATACCCGGCCATATTTGCAGGCATCAGGGAAGAAGACAGTAGATAAGGAGACATTTAATATGAGAGGAGAGAGTTCCTTCTGAGTCCTCTTTGCTAATCGTCATGCATATTCTGCTCTCGTGTGGGTATATCCTCAGGTTCAGTCCTGGGCGCTCTCCTGTCCTCCCTCTAAACTCTCATCAAAACTTCATCAAGGGGCAGCTTGGTGGCACAGTGAATAGAGCTCTGGGCTTGGAGTCAGGAGGACCTGAATTTAAATCCAGCCTCAGACACTTAACACTTACTAGCTGTGTGTCCCTGGGCAAGTCACTTAACCCCGATCGCCTCACCATAAAAGCAAAACAAAACAAAACAAAACTTCATCAGTTCCCTATGTGACTTCAGTACTAGTCTCTTTCCTGAGCTTCAGTCCATATCACCAGCTTTCTATAAGACATTTCAAACCCGATGTTAAATTCAATGTATCCAAAGAAGAACTCATGATTTTTCCCCTCTGCTGAACTTCACTATCAAGGGCATTGCTTCTCTCTCAGTCACCTAGGGTCAAAACCTCAGAGTCATCTTTAACTCTTTTCCCTCACCCTCCATACCAGTTAGTTGCAAACCATTGTTAATTTTCTTCACTCGCACTCTTAACATGGCCATCACCCGAGTTTAGGTGTGAATCATATTGCTACATCTTCCTCATTGATTGTTCTGCCTCGTCTATTTCCTCTCTAATTCATTGTCCACATAGCTGCCAAAGCACAGATCTGTCCATGTCAGTCCCTTGCTCAATAAACTACGTAGGCCCCTAATTTCCTGTAGTATTATATACAAACTCCTATATTTGTCATTTTATGCCCTTTACAACCCAACTTCAACCTTCATTATTATATATTACTCCCTTTCATGTACTGTATGGTCCAGTCAAATTGGCTTTCTTGTTTCTCCGACACAAAATTCTACTTCCCATCTCCATGTCTTTACACAGGCTACCCCTTGTTCCTGGAATGCACTTCCTTCTTAACTCCACTGCTTAGAATCCCAGGTTTCCTTCAAAGCTGAAGAGCACCTCTTACTTGAGACTTGTCCTGATTCCCCAGGTACTAGTGCCTCTCACCAAAAAAAAAAAAAAATTACCAAGTATTTTTGGTATATATTGTCTATGTACTCATAGGTGTAGATTTCTTCCCCCAAAAGAACATAGCTTTTTAAAGTCAGAGACTATTTCATTTCTGTCTTTGTGCTCCCATCATTTGGTTCAAGTCTTGATTTATAATTGGAATTTAATAAATGATTGTTTATTGATTGATTAATGGAAAGGGAGGGGATCAAGGGCGCAAGCAGAGGCACTGGTCTTAAACAAGGAGAAGTGTCACTCCTTCATCAGAGACTGGATCAAAAGCAGAAAGAATGATGTAAATGCCAAGAACATCCCACCAGCAAGCTGGTGACTGGAGAGGATGGGAGCAAAATAATGTTGCCCATGGAGTTCAGTGCAGTGCTTAGGGTAAATGAATCAGAATAATGTTAGTGAGGGGAAGAAGTGGAGGAATGGACAAATTATCCAAATGACCTCGCCCTTTGCTAGCCTATTCCAATGACTGTCCTGAAGTTCATCACCTTGGAATAATTTCCACTATATCAGTAATACTGTGAGCTAGATGGTGCTTCCCAGTCTTTAATCAATAGATCAGACCAATCTCTGTCCCTCCCATCACATCAAGCAGTTGCCCACTCCCCTCTCGCTACCAAAATCTGACTGAATATTATATTAATCATCCAGATGTGCTATTCTATAAATTGACTTCCCCTTCAAGGAAGGGAGAATGTTGCCCATATGCTGACAAGCTACAAGTCCCAACTTGTAGCAACAAACAAACAGCTCTGTATTTATATATATTTTCAACCCCATCTATTTCAAGCCAATATTTCATAGGATTTCAATCTGGAAAGGCCTCACAACAATCACCTCATTTTAAAGATGAGGGAACTGAAGTCCAGAAAGGACCTTTCCCAAGGTCACCCAGGGAGTAAGTAGTAAAGCTGGATGCTAACCCAGCTTTTAATCTAGTTGCTGGGTTAAGACCAAGAAAACTCCAATTAATTGAAAGAATTTGAGCAATCTGTCCCATTTTAACACGGTCTTATTTGGTATCCAAAGCTTCTTAACCCATACAGTTATGGGCCTGAATAAAATTAGGTAAGCCTTTAAAATGAGCACATGAGAATTTTAATAGACAATAAAACTTGAGGTTGTTGGCATATGGCTTTGTACTTTCTTCAGGTACAGAAGCCCTCTTCTATCAACAATTGCATATCACAATGTTCCTGGGGAGATGCTACCGGGACCTTTCCTGGTTCATTGTTCCAGCAGGAGAATCATGACCATTTTCTTCTTTCTAGGAGATGAGAAGACTGATGCTGCCTCGGGACCTGCCCATAAATCCCCGGATGGAGTACTTGGGATTCTCCTGTACTCTAGACCCAGGACTCCAAGATTTTTACTTATCTTCCAAAGATCTGAATACTGAAGAAGATAGTGACAATGAAACAGAGAAACCAGTGACCCAAATGAAAACACCTTTATTCCCACCAATGGTTAAAACAGTAAAATCTAGTGACATAAAATGATTAAAAGAAATCTCAAAATTGGCTTCCCTCCCATATGTGTCTACTGGTGTCTCTTTAGAACACTAACTCTGAAAGACTTTTTAAGCAACTTTTTAATATTCAAATCTGTAAAGAAAAGGTTTCCATGAAATTGATGGGCATTTAGAAATCAAGAGAAGGGTAATTGATACACCTGGACTCTACATTGAAGAAAACACATATAAATATTAACATTAGTAAATTATTAATTAATAATATTAATAAAGATATAAATACATAAAGTAAGTCGTTATTACAAAAAGAGGAACTATAGGATTCCTTTAGATTAAAGTTCCTCCAACTTGCGTAAATATAGAATTATAGAGCCTCAGAGTTGTAAGAAACCTTAGAAACCACCCAGTTCAACCTACACCTGAATTACAGATACTCTTTATAACATTCCTAGCACCATCCCCTTAAAGACATCCAAAGATTGAGGAGCTCATGAAGCAGCTGATTTCACTTTTGGCTAGCTTCTCTTATTAGGAAGTAGGTCTTTTTTTTTCCTTGTATTGAACTCAAATCTACTTCTCTATCATTTCCACCCATTGTCCCAGTTCTGCCCTAGGGAGTCAAGCAGAGCAAGTATAATCCCTCTTCCATATATTAACCTTAAGATATTTAATCATTTCCCCAAGGCTTTGTTTCTGTCATCCAACATTTTGACCGTCCCCATCCTTTCCAGCTTTGTATCATCTTCAAATTGATGAGCATTCTACCCCTGTCATCATGTAAGTTGTTTTCAGAACATCAACTAGATTAACAAAGAAGCTAATCCACTAATGCGCAGCCAGGTGCCACAGTGGAGAGAGCTCCAGGCCTAGAGTCAGGAAGGCTCACCTTCCTGAGTTCAAGTCTGACCTCATTTATCAGCTTGTGATCCTGGGTAAGTCACCTTACCCTGTTTGCTTCAGTTTCCTCATATGTAAAATGGCTGGAGAAGAAAATGGCAACCCACTCCAGGGTCTTTGCCAAGAAAACCTCAAATGGGGTCATGAAAGAGTCAGACATAACTGAAACAATTGAACAGTAAAATCTGCTAATGTTCCTAGTTGAGGAAGCAGCCAGTAGGGAGGAAGGAATGCTGCTATTGATTTGGAGATATTAATATTCACAAGTGCTGCCATTTTAGACAGATCTCTTATCACTTCCAGACCTGGCCACTCCAGTTAAAATGACTTTTTTTTTAGCTTAAATGGTTTCTGTAATGGGTAGGCACAGTGTCACACTATCACTTTTTTTAGAAGACTCAAATGTACCCTAAATTAGTGGATAATCTTATTTTACTGCTGGGTTGAATGCTTTTGGGGGTTTGTGGGGAAAGGGAGGGCAAGGAGGGTCATCATGGAGGAGCCTTGCCCTCAGTAAGGAAAACGCTGCGTAAGGTAGCCTCCTTCTGGTTCCTTTGGGCCAAGAAGAAAAGCCCCACTACACAACAGGTGAGCTCCACACCCGCCTTCCAGATCCCACTTGTTACGGATCAGGGCCCATCCTCTCAACACCAACTCGGCCCAGAGCCCCATCTCCCTGGCCCAGGATGCTCTGCCATAACTTTTGGGAGAAGTGTGATTGTATATGGGTGATTTGCCTAAGTCTAAATTTAAGAAAAAGAAAAAAAAAGAAATATTTAAACATTTTTTAACAAAATAAAATTTATTTTTATATTTAAGCTAAATTGCCTTTCTAATTCCTTCAAGCTTGATTCATTGAGGCTGTGAAAGTACAAAGCTGTTATCCAGAAATTAGATGAGCAGTGAGATCTCGGGGAGGAGGGAGCCTGACGTTGCCCGGGGGAGGAAGAGCTCACTCAGACTCCCTTTTCACCCAGGGAATCGTTCTGTAAAATGTACTTTTTCTTTTATAATAATGTGATGTATGTGAATGTGGCTAGGGCGAGGTTCCCCCCTGTGATAGCAGCTCTGGTGGTTGCAGTTTTGGAGGTGGGAGAGGGACATTGGAAGGCCTCTAGAGCTCCATCTTAAGCCTGTGTCTCAGCCACTGCTCAGTCCCACAAGGACCCTGGCGAAAACTGAATCAGGTCAAACCAGCCTTTCCATGGCAGTGGTGGCAGCACGAAGCCTGTTAGTTACCAGAACAGCCCAGAGATCTGCCCACACCCGCCCAGCTCAGCCTCGGCCCTGTGCAGGTACATGCATGAGACCGAATGGGAACAAGAGACGAAGCTTTCCATAAGACGCTGTTCCTGTTGAGTCTGGTGGGAATTTAGGGTGAATGTGCAATTTGTTTCCCTTGCTTCTTATAATGTTATTGATTTTAAAAACAAACAAAACTGTGACCTCAAAAGAAAAGACTCAAATGTACTAAAATTTAAAAATTATTATGAATTTGACAAAACAAGCATGAACATTTCTTCATAGGAAGAAGAACACAAAAAGAGGACTTCATATGAAACTGTGTGGTATATTTTTAAATATATATTTCAAATTTTTCATGGCAGTCCTAGTACTTAACAGCTTACATCCCTCCTGATCCTTCTCCTGGCCTCTTCTCTCTATTTTCTTTGATGATTCATTGATACTCCTTCCTTCATTTTAAAAATTATCAGTATAACCATCCTACCTCTACCCATCAATCTCCCTCCTCTAAAAAAAAAGGCATCTTTTGCTAAAGTAATAATAATAATAATAATAATTATAAGCATAGTACAGGAAGTCTATTATTATTGTTTGAGAAAACTTCATTATACCCTGTGAATTATCATAAAATAGTGACTAGTTTGGGAACAAGGGATTCAAGCCAATGGAACTTGAAATAACCTCTCAGGATTATGCCTAGAGACCTAAAAAGCAGGTTTAGCAGCTATGCTCTAGGCACTCACCTTAACAGTGCAAGTAGAAGTCAGGATAAGGACTCAGAGAATATGTGTGGTCTACACTCGCCTTCTACCTTGGTCTCCTGGTTGTAAACAGCAGATTCTAGTTTTGACAGGAGTCTGTCATCTGTCTTCTGCAAGATCCCAAATCTGAGATTGGTTTTATCCCCTACTATGGAACTGGCAAGCTCCAATAGGATATTGGAAATGGTGTTAGTCTCGGGTCTCTTGCACAACCACCTTGAAGTTGGCACCCAGGTGCTAAATCAGCCCTACCTTCTCCTGTGGTTCCCAATGCTCTAAGTGTATATTTTGTCTCTGTATCTCTGTGCAGTGATCGATGGTGCTGGTTCTGTCTCCCTTATTCTTACCTGGTCTCAGGTCACTAATTACTAGAGCTTTCACTGACTTGCAGTCCTCTTGTTCAGAGCGTTGGCTGACTTTAGGTCCGTTTGCAGTAGTTTGTGCTAGCCTCTTTGGTTCAACTACCCTCCCCAGCTCTGTTTTCTACCCAGTTACCGGCGTTCACTTTGGCTTCCCTAGCAAGACTCCTCTCTTTGCCTCCTCCAACTTCAATCTTTCCTATTTACCTAAGCTTCCACCTACTTCTCCAATGTCACCTGTTGACACACTTTGTCTAGCTTCTGACTCTTTTTATACAATTCTGAATTGGATGGAGGAGGTCACTTCTCTTTCTTTTTGGTTTTCTTTTTCATTGGTCTTTCCTAGGGATTTTTCAGATATTTTCTGACCTTCTCTATGACCTTTCACATCATCATCTTAATTATAAGTCTAGTATATTTGTGCTTAAAGAGGAGCTTTCTGGAAATGACACTTTAACCCAAAGGAATGTTACTAATGGTTGAGAATTTCAAGCCCTGGTGGTAGATGGGAGTTGGCCTTTCACCATGCACCTCTAGTTTTCTCTACCTCAGTAGAACATACAGTGAAACTATGGAGACTAGAGGGAAAGGTAAGGTCACTAAATTGGATTTCAAACAATCTATGGAATATTGGAATCATAGACCGTAAGGACCCTTAACTCAGTGTCTTGCATCTAGTAGGCACTTAACTTTTGTTGAATTTGGCATTTTGCTAAAGGTTTTAAAATGACTCTGACTCTGATTCAATAGTTTTTCATAGGTACCCCAGAGGAAAAAAAAAAGGATATTTCTTAATTCAACAAGAATTGCTACACACAGTGCTAGAGACACAAAAACAAAAACTCCCAAATGACAACAATAAGCATCTGTTAAGAGCTAACGACTCACCAGGCACTGTACAAAAAGGAAAAAAAAAAGCCCAGCCCCTGCTCTCAAGGGGCTCCCAGTTTAGTTAGGGAAAAAATAAGCCCAACAACAATGCACAAACAAGAGACAGTCCCTGCCTTCAAAGAGTTTCTATTCTACTTGATAAGCCCCTTCAGCTGCTTTAAGCAATTGTCAACCAGAAATCTCACTTCTGACACCAATTTAACTGTCAAACCAGAAATCATAACTTCATGAAACATGTGTGAAAACTGGATTTATTACAAGAGAAAGGCACATGTATATGAGAACACCTAATACCAAGAAGCCCAGTGGTGCAGGGAAAGCCGTGGGTATTTAAGTTACAGGAAAAAAGGGAAGTCATAGGGGAAGGAAAAAGGACTAATCCTCTCCTGAAGGAGAGGAGGAAGGCAACGGCAAAAGCAGCATTCTTTTCCCTTGGGAATCGCTAGACCATGAAGATAGGATGGTCTGCTTATCTACAAGGGCCCCAGCTTCACACACAGTTTCTCATTCTGCTGAAGACTGACTGACACCTGTCTTGGACCCCAAGGTCAACCCACATCCTAGGGTTGTTATAAGGATCAAATGAGGTAATATTTATAAAGTGCTTTGAAATCCTTAAGAGTTACATACTGTTATTGTTCAGTCATTTCTCTGTCCAACTCTTTGTGACCCCATTTGGGGTTTTCTTGGCAAAGATACTGGAGTGGTTTGCCATTTTCTTCTCCAGTTCATTTTATAGATGAGGAAACTGAGGCAAACAGGGTTAAATGAATTTCTCAGGGTCATAGAGATAGTAAGAGTTCAAGGCCAGATTTAACCTGATAAAGATGTGGGTGTTATTATTAACCCTATTTTTCAGATGAGAAAACTGAGGC